TGCTGTATATTATTAATAAAAATTTATTATTAAATTTTGTTTTCATTAAAAAAAACAACAAAACAAATCAAGTGATTGGGAATCCAATATATATTGTAATGTGATTTATTACTATCATAACTATTATATTATACAATATACTATAATATCATGGAGTTATTTAATAAATTAATTCTATTTTCAATATATGTTAATTGAAATATATTTATTTATTTAAAATTTATATTATATTATATATATAAGACATATATACACAAAATTGATTATATTGTTCAAATATATTTAAACTTAAAATAAAAATAATGATATTCATTGTTTTACTAGGAAAACAAAAATATTGCAACAAACTTGAGACTAACTATATTGTAATTTTTAAGACAATTAGTTGTTTTGTTTTTAAAAATGTGTATATATTTTTTTGAGGGGTACTATAATACAAAACCTCCAATAAATAGTACAGTAAACTCTTTTTTTTCTCTCTCTAACTCTCATTAAGTTATTTACTGTACAAAATCGTTGGCACTATCCTATGGGGACAGACCTATTCACTTACACTCACACATACAAAGAGTTGCTTTATATATACAGTATTTGTAGAGCTTATAAAAGCAACAAAACTTAAGCCGATTTTAAGGATAATCACTGTATTGTGGCAAAGGGTTAGTCCCCTAATATATTATCAGTTGTGGACTTTTAGGCTCAGTATAACCTAAAATCTATATTATGTATATATCATTACTAAACTATACTAAATTATCATGCTCAATATTGACCCATAATTGTTTGTCAATATAATATATAGTAATTTATATTATACAAACAAACCCCACAAAAAAACATATAAAAAATAATTTATTAATAATAATTATTATTATCTTATAAGTTATAACATAATAATAATAATTATTATTATGTTTATTATATTATCAATAAATTATGTTATGTAAATTAATCAAAAATATTCTAAACATTATCTAAACAATAAATAAATTGATAATTATTTATATTACTAATTATATACTCAACAAAAAAATTATGCAAAAAAAATTTGAAACATAATTATTATATTTATAACTTTGATATTCTAGTATTGCAAAAAACAAAAATATTTTGCACATAAAAAAACGAAACTAACAAAAAATAAAATAAATGATATCTAATTTTTCTAAAGTCTAAAATCTAAAAAAAACTTTTAAACAACATGTTTATCATTGTCATAAAAAAAACTTCAACATTTTCACACTAAACACATACACACAAACATACAGGTTCTGTACATTTTAATAATTGATGTGTTTTTTTTAGTAATAGTGTGCAGACGTTAGAAAAATTACACTTTCAGGACTATTAAAAACTGAACCATTATTTTTTGCCGATACTAACGGTGCTCTTAAGTAATAAAAATTTTTCGGCTGAAAAAAATATATACTGATATATATATATATATATGTATAAATATTTTTAGACCTAAGCATTCGGTGCATTAACTAACCAAAAGAAAAAAATCTGACACATAGTAGAGCCCACACCACCACCACCTCCTGTAAAGTCCAGGTGTAGAAAATTTGTTGCCTCCGAGCCATTTGTATAGTATAGTACAGTATAATCTACAAAACCAATTCACAATTGAGTGCACCAGTCGACTGAGCCGATTGAGACATCACTGTCTGTATGTATACGGTATACCTGACAGTAAATTTCATATAATAGCAAAAACTTAGAGTAGACGAGAAAACCATGTAAAATAACGGTTTTCGGTTAGGGGGGGGGGGTAGGCTAAACTTAATAACAAACAAACATGAATGTTTGTTAGAATTTAAAAACAAAAGTTTCGGGTTTTTGATTTGGATCCGGTTTACAACAATTTTGGTTCGGGTTTGCTGTTCTCTTATACCTTTTTTTTAGACTTTTGGGTTTCGGTTTGGTTACTGAAAAATAGCTCTCTCTCTCTCTCTCTCTCTCTCTCTTTCTCTCATCATATTCAGGGTAGACTAGACTCCCGAAAAACTCGTAACTATTAATATTATTGATGGCGAAACACTCACACATAACTGAATGCACGCATTCAATACACAATTTATGCACCGATTTCTGACAACTTTAGTGAACAAATCGACTAATTTTTATCGAGAAATAACGCTTTTATGCTTTACTTTTACAAACGATCCGATACTAATCGACTCATAGATATATAGATATATATATATATATATACAATGTGTGTGTGTGTGTGTGTGTGTGTGTGTGTGTGTGTGTGTGTGTGTGTGTGAGAGAGAGAGACTTAAATACATTTCCAGGTAACTCAACAAATAAAAATCGGTAACAAATTTCAATTCAATTTAAACAACACAAAAGTCATATCCAAAAAAAAGTATTTCCATATAAAACCTTTATATAACAAACACCACACAAACAATATATTTGTTAACAAGATTTTTTGGTCAAACAATATTGTAGGCACTGGTCTATACCTGTGCATGTAATGTACATTACAATACCGGTGTTATACCCCTATTGTGTTTGATGTCTTTATTATCAAACCTGCTTTTCATATTATTATAATAATAATAATATATTTACGCTGAGTATATAATTTAACCAACATAAAATTTATTTGCAAAAAATAAATAAATATTCAATAGTTATAATAATTTACCTGAAACATTAAAACTCAGGTATATATATTATACAATACAATATCTTATATTATATATTATTATATTTAGCAAACATGTTGTTTGTTATTGTTGTTTAAATTTAAATGAATATGAAATTAATGATAATTTGAATATAATTCTAAAATAATTGTATTATAATTTCGTGACTCTCTCTCTCTCTCTCTCTCTCTCTCTCTAGTATTTTAAGCTATATTTAGATAGTATAGGCTTTTTTCAGCTAATAATTTTCGAAAGTTTTAGTTTTTTCAAAAAATATATTTAAAGAATTTGAATCACAAACAGTAGTGAGGGCTTAAAATATTATATATACAGACTGTATAATACAGTACTATAATATATAATATAAAGTAATCATTCATTTTATGTAGACTTAGAAATGTATGTAAAAAATGCAGATAAAACTGTATTTAGTTATAAAATATATTACATAATACAGTATTAATGTCTATCATGGTATATCTTAAATAAAAAAAATATTTTGTTTAACAAAACCAAAATTTATTATTAATTGCTTATTAATGTTTAACATTATTATAATAAATTATATAATTTTATATTAATAATAATAATAATAATAATAATAATAATAATAATAATAATAATAATAATAATAATAATAATAATAATAATAATAATAATAATAATAATAATAATAATAATAATAATAATAATAATAATAATAATAATAATATAGAAATATTTGAGAGGATGATATACATCATTATCTTATACATTATATACAATATAATGAACATAACCTCTAACGCAAACTCAATGTATTTAATAATATAATTACTATAATATTTGTTATTTTATAAATATATAGATTGCGATCAATTAATTAATATATGAATAAAACGATTTAAATTACATTTTGATTGCCTTTTGGCCATCAAATATATAGATGAAAATTGTTGCCTTCAAAGTGAATCAACTTTATTAAGACATCAAAACCTGTCGTTTTTTTTGCTGAGTCTTTCAAACTAAAAGATAAAGAGAGAGAAAGCCTGAGGCGTTCTTTGCATACATTATTATAGCTATACATCAATTGCTTCATATTTTTAGAGGCCATACCTCTCTCTCTCTCTCTCTCTCTCTCTCTCTCTCTCTCGTGTGTGTGTGTGTGTGAGTATATGTGTGTACAGAACTGGGCACACATACACACACACAACAAGTGTCCCCTTTTATGAACCAAAATATCCATAAAACTTATAGACCATAACTGTGTAGTCAAAAACAGACAATACACTAGTCTAATGAAGACCAAGAGAGAGAGAGAGAGAGAGAGAGAGAGAGAGATTAGAGTTGAAGTTAAAAACAGGCAAATCGTTAGTGAAGTAAAAAAAATAATAATAAAAAGAGAGCTTTCGGTCCGTCCGTCAGTCCCACCCCTACCTACTACTCGGCCTGTGCTCTGGTATTGTATGATATGTTAAGATATTATATATATGTATATACTGTATATAAGTTGGCTCTCAAAAAAATAAAGCAATTCATGTGAAGATATTTCAGTAAAATTTTTTTTTTCTTAAGCCATCAAAACAATCATTATTATAACATCACATAAGACTTTTTGGCGCACATCAAGACATTTATAGCTCACACATACCTGTGCTATATATATATATATATATATATATATATATATATTCAACAACTGGTAATCAGTGAAAATTCAATAGAAAAGTGAAGTTTTGTGAGAGAAAGATATTAAGAGCTGAGAAAGAGAGTGCACCTCATAATCACTATAATGTCTTCATTATATATATATTTATATATTGAGAAAGTTTTTTGAGTGCAAAATGAAAATAAAGATAATAAAAAAATTTCAATCAAAAAAAATGTGTTGAAAGGTCTCTAACATTAATATAATGTAACAAAAAAATAAATAAATACAGATTCACTATAAACTGGTATATATTTATCCAATTTTTTTCGACTACATTTTTTTTGACTCTATATATATATATATATATATATATAATACAATAAAAACTAAACTTTTCAATACATATTGTGAATCATTATATATATATATTGTAAAAAATCAAATATTTAATTTTTTTTATTTTATTTATTTGGACGACAAACAAACATATATTTATTTTTACGATTGAATTGAAGTTTTTTGCGACAACAAAAAAATTTTTATAAAAATAAAAAAAATATATAAATTTTTCTTTTTATATATTGATATATAAAAATAAAACCAATTGAGACATCATTTTGACTGAAAAATTGAGACATTAATGTAAAAAACAACAACAAAAATGAAAGATAAAAAAGTTTTGACAAATTTTTTTTCTCTCAATTTTTTTTCGTTGTTTTATTACTTCTGAAATTATTCTGTACTCTTCAGATCAAACTCTTTGGTAGAGATAATAACGATAAGTGATATCGTTTTCTTGTTGCACCTCTTGAGGTACGGCACTGTCCTCTTGAGTGATGTCTTTAAATAAGTTGAGATCCACTTCTGGAAAGAAGGCGTCGCACTCGTAGTTGCTATCGATTCGCGTTAAGTAAATATATTGGCACTCATCGACATCGATGGCCTCTTCGTACAGTACTTGACCTCCGATTACAAACACTTTGTCGATAGTTTCATCAGTGGATAGCACTTGAAGTGATTGGCTTAATGAGGCCATCAAACGATGGGCTCCTTTAGGCAACTCAGTTAACGACTTGCTTAGGACAACATTCAGGCGATTGGCGAGCGGTTTGTATTTCGGTGGTATCGACTCCCAGGTCTTGCGGCCCATTATTACGGCATTTTGTTTGCCATCGGCTGCAGTACTAGTAATACGTGTAAAATAGGACATCTCGTTCTTGAGTCGCCACGGAAGACGACCTTCGATGCCGATACCGTTGTTGGCACAGACGGCCGCTATCATTGCAAACGGTTTTACCGCTGATGATGACGACGACAAAGACATGTTTAGACAATGTTTGTCTAATTAATGAATTAAATGATATGTTAAACAAACAAACAAAAAGTTTTATAAATGGATCAAATGACTGATAGGATATATCAATTGAAACAATAGGTTAGAAATAACTAGTTTTTGTAATTAAAAAAAAAAAATATGTATAAAGTTTTTTAACGCTAAATATATTTTTATTATTTGTATTATTTTATGTTAAAACAATGTTTAAAGTATGCAATCATATGATATTTAATACCTGTAATTACAATACAAATATTTGTTGTATAATATAATATTTAGTCTATAGATATCACTAGTTTTGTATTGAATTTATTTATAAAAATTTTACTGTATTTTTGTTGAAGATTTTTAGTTTGAAAAGTTTTATTGCAGTAAATTTTAATTGAAAGTTATTTACAGATAATTTTAATCACAAATTTATTTGATTTAATTATAATTATTATATAATAAAATTATAATAAATGACTGATAATTATGATTAAATTTAATAGTTATTAAGCAAAACAAAACAAAAGATGTTTTTTTCAAAGTGATTGCAATTTATAATTTACATGAAAAAGGCGGTGTATATCACAAATGGTATACTAATATCATAATATAAATATTTAAAACAATAATAATTAATTTTTTTTAATAAAAAAAAATAATAAAACAAATTTACACTAAAAACAAATACATTATCACTTCAATTATTATTAGTGACATTGCAGTCAATCATTGGACATAACAGGTGGGCGTCAAAGTCATGTCACCTCTCGATGATGAGGAGGACATCCTTTTAACAAAGTTCTTGTATGAAAGACTATCACTATTCAAATCCATTTGATTGAACGAATTTTCCATCGACTCCTGACTATAATCGGCGTCTCTATTCTTATTGCTATTTCTTGTGGTCCTTTTGAAGCTGCTCTTCGCCGTCGATCGGCTCTTCAATTGTTCGGCTTTTGTTAGCCATTTGTTTAGCTCTTCTTTTAGTATCAATTTATCGTCAGTCTTCAGTTTTGGTAATATTTCGAAACCAATTTCAATGGCTTTATTATAATCAGTAAACGCTTTCTTATAACTCTTTGTTTTGATCGATTCGTTTGCTTTTTCGATCAATTCGTACGCTTCGTGTATTGACATCAGGATCTCATTGTCGACAGTAATCAGTCGACACTTGACTTTCAATTGTTCAGCTCTTTCCATATATTCTGTTAGTTTTTTCTTCAGAATTTGTTGTTCATTTTGATCCCAAACAGTGGTTCCGTCGCCCCAATTGTATACTGGAATCAAGTATTGAAGGGCTTCGGTATAGAGTCTAAACGAGTCGTTGAACTCATTTTTCAGATCACTATCGACGGCTTCATTGATCAATTGGACGCCTTTGTTATACGATTCTCGTGAAGGCATGTGTTCTAAATCAATGAACGAGTGGTCGAAGAACTCGTCAAACGAGATTCGTTTGCGTGGATTTCGCTGCAAAAGTCTTGTCAATAGATCGCGACAATTGTCGGAAATATCGAAATTATTCGGTATTTCAATTGGTTCCGTGTTTTTAATCTTTTTGGCCAACGCTTCGAACGTATCGGAACTGAACGGCGCTCTTCCGACAAGACATTCATATAGTATAATACCCACTGACCAGAGGTCAACATTGGCGTCGTATTTGTTTTTCAACAGTATTTCCGGTGCCATATAAAGTGGTGATCCCCTCATAGATGTGGCCGAGTCTTCGCTACGCAAATACTGGGCAAACCCAAAGTCGGCTATCTTTAGGACAACATTTCGCCAACAATTTGCCGATAACTTTGACGATATGAGTATGTTTTGTGGCTTGAGATCCATGTGGGCCACAGAATGTGATCTCAATGTCTTCAGTGCGGCGGTAATCTGTTGCAAAAAATGTCGAACAATAGACTCAGGAAATCTGCTATTCTGGCGGATCAGTTGAGCCAAACAGCCGCCACTACAGAACTCGAAGATCAAATAGATATAGTTGTCGTTCCAATTGAAGTCCAAGAGTTGGACAATGAACGGACTACGGACTCGTTTGGTGATCGATATTTCGTTGACAATGTTATCAATCGATTGTTTCGATAGACCCGTCTTCTGGACGCACTTTATTGCCACCACTTCTCCTCCAGAAGAAGTTCTTGTAGTACACTGTTTGACATCAATGGACGTCAACCGGAATGAAATATATTGTCAATAAAAGTTAAATCATCGAAAAATCTGGTCAACAATGACATCAACTTCGGTGAAACAAGACATACCTTTTTGGTCGCCTTATAGACCGTACCGTAGGTTCCCTTACCGATGAGTTCGCCGAACTGATAGTCGGGTAGTGAATGTTTTTTGGCCGACATTATCACCGAATCAATCAATTGATCCGCCAATCGGTGGTCACAACGTATATGACTTATAACATCACTATTACTGTAAAAATATGTAATATTTTGATAAATATATTGTTGTTGTCGTTGTGTTGTCTGCAATGTATTTACCTATAAATTACGTCAATATTTACGTTGTCTTCTAGACATTGACTTCTATGGCAATATATATTCAATACGTTTGACGTAATTAATGATTAGTTTATTTTAAAAAACATAAATATTTATATTATTTTATCGATAAAATCATTTTGAGGTCAAAAATAAAATAAAACAAAACCGTCGGTTCTTTGTGTACCACATCTATCGAATCAATCTCATCGACCGGTCAGACATGTCCTCAGCAGTCATTCGGCGTTTGCCGCGACTCGTTGTCTTCGATTTGGACCATACATTGTGGCCGTTCGGTGTGGACGGCTTTCGCTATATACCGCCGTATCATCGAAAAGACGGACACGTTTTTGACCGACAACAGCAACCGATGCGTACGTTTTCCGAAGTACCCGATATTATGAGACGACTGACTGCCGATGGTATTCAAATTGGTGTGGCCTCGCGTACCGAATACCCGTTGGGCGCCCACACACTCATAGATCTGTTCCAATTGGATCAGTTTGTCAACTATCGGCAAATATATCCCGGCCGTAAACTTAAACATTTTGAACGCTTGAAAACCGATTCGGGCGCCGATTACCAACAGATGATGTTCTTCGATGACGAACAACGAAACATTGCTGACATCGGACCGCTCGGTGTGACCGCAATACTAGTCGATCGTCAGACTGGTGTTACCCTTGAGATTGTCAATGAGGCCATCAAACGGTTTGCCAGCAAAACGACGGCCGCGACCGGCGCTTAAATAATTGACAGGTTTTGACTGAATCTCAACAGTCATTACAATACAACACAGTTATCATTGAATTATATAGTAATTAGTTATAAATAAATTAATTAATTAACTTTTAAAAACAATTATATATTTGTATAAATAGCTTTTGTTTTTATTATTATTATTATTTACAGCATTTTATTTGAAGTAGTTTTTTGATTTAAAACAAAACAACAAAAAGAAAAACTTTACATCAATTTTATACAATCGGTTAAAACGATTATATAAATAATATATATTTCTCTTTTTTAAAAATGTGTCTATTTTTAAAATATAGCAAAATCTTTAATATTTATATATAATGTTATAAATATAAGTCATTTTTGTTTGTTTGAATATAATATGAATTTTTTTTATCTGATAATATAAATAAGTTATTTGAATGAATATACAGTAATATATGGAATGTTCCTTATATTTCATTACATATTCACAATATATATATATATTATATACAATTTATAATTTGTTATTAAAATGATTTTAAATTAAATATATAATAATATAAATATAAATTTAAAATAGTTATCATTTTCTCATGCATTGTCAATGTTTATAAATTTACAGTATTTAATTTAATATTACCGTAATATATAAATATATATATTAAAGTATTTTATAGATTTCATAAAAATTAAGACCAAAATATATGATAAAAATATTTGAATTTAAATATATATATATATATATAATATACAATTGGAGATCGTTTGCACTTTTTAAGTCTACCGTAAGTTCATTATTATTAAAAATTAAACTAATTATAAGCATTGCATGAATAATATCAAATAACTATTAATATTATTTAACTCATCAATTGTCCTAAAAAAATAATAATTAAATAACATTTGGCCCTAAATTTTTAAATTAATTTATGAAATTTACACATTCTTTTATAATAATAATTATAACCAATTGATCCTAAAAAAAACAACAACAAAAACTTTACATCAATTGTCCGGATTTAGTCTAATAGAAAATCCAATAAACAGTTTCAAGACTTCATTTGATTTGTACAGTAGTTTTCCCAACAAAAAAAACAACTTTCCACTCACTATTGGATTTTGTTTTTTACATTAAATATCATATATATATCACACATGTATTGCATATGGAAGCGAATGCATACCATTTATTTTTTGTTAGTTAGTTGTGTCCATCACTTATTCAACCTAAATATGACTTCAATTTACGGACAGTTTTGTCATCCAAACGCATCAAATCAAAGTCAAACGTCGAATCGGTTAATGAGAAACTGCCCGACTCTTCAATAATGTCGACAATCTTTTGCAAGAGATCACTGTTTGTCGATTCATTAATACGTTTCTGAACGTCCATTAAATCGTTTAATCGAACCGAATCGTCGTAATCGGGCGACGACAAGGCAACGGTGGTCAACAATCGATCACTTTTAGCTATCGACGACAAATTGTTGTCCAATAATCGTTTGTTAGGCTGTTGTTGTTCTTTAGATTGAAATTCAGATTTTTTCCGTTTCAGTGATGACTGCAGCTGTGAATTATGTTGTTGTTGTTGTTGTTGTGTCGTTGTTTCTAATCGTTTGTTTGAATTTGTTGTTTTATCAAACTCTTTGGATTCATTTTTACTGTTCGTATAGGGTTTCGATGACTTCGATGTTGTTGTTGATGTGTTTAACGACTTTGTGATCGCATCGTCGTCACTGGAATCCAATGAGTTTAACGATAATAACCTATTGTTGTGGTTGGACTCAGGTTTACGATTTGGTCGAATCGGTATAATACCAATTGGCGAGGTATTATCACTAGACGGGGGAGACATGGAATCGTTCGATTCAAAAGCAGCTGTCCTCTGATTGTCTCTTTCATTGATCGGTGATTTCAACGATGACGATGATGGACTAGAACTCCTTTCCCTATTATTAATATTATTATTATAGGATCCGTACTTGTCTTTCGATGCTTTCGTGTATTTATTTCCATTAACTTTGGAAGACTTAATGCTATTTGGTTCGGACTTAATCTTGGATTTACTGGAATTGAGTAAAGAGCCGGCACTGGTATTGTTAGTACTAATGTTGTTGTTGTTGCTGCTAATGACTGTTGGCTTGTCTTTAGCTGATTTAAATTCTTTACTCCGCGATTTGTCCCATGTTTTCTCTTTTTTAATTGATTTAATCTCAATCGTTGTGTTAGTATTATTATCACTGAAACTGATTTTAGTTGACGTCGAACTCTCTTTCTTTCGTCCACTCGATGTATTGCTATCTTTTGATAAAACTTTCTGTCTTTTGCTATCCTTTTTAATATCTTTGTCTTTATTATTAGAGTTCGACGACTTTTGTGGATCTTTTGTGTGTGACTTGGATTCAATTCCTGTTCCTCCGCCGCCATAACTGCTGGCGGTTAATGACGACGAATTAGAAGACGTACTGTTCCGTCGCTTTTTTGTTGACTTGGATTCCGATGATTTCTTATCGGATTTTTTATCGCTCGGCTCATAGGCTTTCGGTGATAACAAACGATTCTTCTTCGACTTACTACTACTAATCGATATCGAATCGTCGTCTCGTTTCGATTTTATACTCTCTTTAGTCGTCGTCTTCGAGTCTTTCGGCTCTTTCTTGTCCTTCTTATCTTTTGTCGTTAACTCTTTCGATGACTTAATAATGTCAATTGATTTATGATTTGGTGATAACGATTGTGAAGAAATCTTTTCAGATTTTTTGTGTGAAGATTTAGAAGATTCGCTATTCTTTAAGCTCTTGGAAGCAATTTCTGTTGATTTTGTTTTTGATAAATTGTCCTAAAATATAATATCAAATATAATATCAAATATAATTAAATTTAATTTAAATAATAATAATAATACTTACTTTGCTTTTGGCAATTGAATCGGGTCTGGCTTGAATGGGTGATCCAAATAAGTCGGTAAACTGTTTATTAGGCGGTTTGATTTGTTTGTCGGCAACCGGCGGCGGATTCGTTGGCTGTGTAATCGTTGTCGCGTTTTGTGATTTAATCAATGATTTGTCTTTCGATGGGATAACACCCAACGTTTTGGACTTTTTGCCGTCACTGGTCGCTAGACTGCCCTTATGTTTGCTATTATTATTACTATTATTAGTAGTAGTAGTTGTTGTTGTATTAGTATTGTTATTAGTATTTGTGGTATCTTTAGATGAAGTCTGTTGTTGTAGATGTTTGTCGTCTGAATGCGAGGATGTCTTGACTGATGGACCGCTCGTTTCATTGGTGACCTAAGATATCAATATTCAAACAATAGAAAAAAAAATAATATTATAGTTAATCTTATATTTTTTACAAGTATTTATCAAATATATTTCTAAGTGTTTTTATTTTCGCAAATTATTGCAAAACAATGGTAACATAATCTTTAATACTTTTTAAGAGTTGATATGAATTATTTTATTTTCAAGTTTATCGCACAAACTTTTGTTGAAACAATTTTCATTTTAATATTAATTATTTGTTTCAATAAAATCAAACTTCAAACAATTCATTTCAATTCTTAAATATCAGTAATAATAATAATAATAATAATTTCATGAAAATTACAATTGAGGGCCAAAAATGATAGCCAGTGTTTGTCAGTGAATACATTTATTCTATAATTTTTTTTTTGCAAAATCAACAAAATATATATTCAAACCAATTATGTAACTAAGCATTTGTCTCGACATAGATATGCATAAAGTTGATGATCTCTTTTACACAAAAAAGCATAACATTATCACTAAGGGGTTTTGTGTATCACATTTTATGGCTGCTTTAATTTAACACTATTTACTGACCTATACATTAAATATTAGCGTATATCTATATAAATTATATATTGGCAACAATAAATTAATTGAATTTTATAAAAAAAACTTTTAATATTATTATAGTTTTATTTTAGTTAAAACACATTTACAGCCAAAATTGAAAAAATCACTTTTTTAGATACACTTTCATCGCTAGTATCGCTGTTTATATAACATATGTTATACAAACACCACTGGCTGAGCAAATATTTCATCTGAATTGTTGCTAAAATATATATATATATATATTATTACTAAAATATTTCAATTATACTGATGAACCCATTAAATATAGTTAACAGATTTTTAATATTATATTAAATTTATTATTTAAAAAAATATATATATATTTATAATTAAGGACATTAACGTTTTAATTTTTGGCAAAACTATAACAACGTTGTATAAAATTTCTATTGTAATTTTTATAAATGTTATTTCAAATATATTTAAATAATTACTCTTATTAAAAAATATCTACATAAATAAATATTAACATATTTTATTTTAATGATCAAATTTTTTTAATATACCTGATATTTTGATGTATAACAGCCATTGACATAATAGAGCATAACATCAATATAATAAATTCATTAACAAACTATACAAATATCTATACTTAGTTTGTACTAAAATATCACACAACATATATAGTATATTATATACACAGACAAAAACACATATACACACAATATATATATATAACCAACAATTCAATTACTATTTGAAATAAAAACTAAGATTACTTTTGTTGAGACACTTAGTAAAAAAAGATATATAAATTATTTTATATAATACTGTTTAGTAATATAATTTGCTTCAATACTGAATGAAAATCTCACTAAATTATAATTCAATATATATATCATATATATAAAAAAAATTACTAAAAAAGTCATACAATTTAATGGGACACAAGTTATTTCATAAGAGAGCAATAGAGAGAAAGAAAGAGAGAAAGAGAGAGAGCAAGAGAGAGACTAATCTATAATGACTCTGATAGAGCCAATAGCAGGTGCTCTCCTTTTATATCACTTTATGGCCTGTTTTGCAATTAATCCAATGCTATTAAACATATAATAACTCTCATATCAGTCTCAGAAAAACGTATTCAATGTAAAAATTAATAGAAAAATAAAATATTTAAAAAAAATATTAAAATAAAAAACACTTTTAATTTATGATTTACTGATTAAAAAATACATTGAAATGTCTGGAAACAAGAAAATTGTAAAATTTCCTTTTCTCTCTCGTAGTCACAAAATAATAATAATAATAAATATATTTTTTGAGAAAAACATATTTGCATAACAAGTTGTATTATACTGTATATATATATATATAATTCAAATATATAAAACAATATCGTAATTTAATATTAGGGCGATTTATATATATATTAAATAATTGGTTCAACTTTTTGTTGATTTCAATCTTTAATTACTAAACATATACTGTATTCGGGATAGTAATTATAATTGTAAAAAAATTTAACAACACGTTTGTATTAATGTTATTGTTAAATTATAACCAATATATTGGCTAATATTTAGCATTAAAATTATCTTATCGATGGCTAATACTTATTTAGTTAAATAATAATAAAATCAATGGTTAATTAGGAAAACAACAACAATAAAAAAAATCAATCAATTGCTTACTCCGCCGGCTTTTAGCAGCTTTTTCTTAAAATCATTGCTGGGATTCTGAAACGTCAGTTTCTCCCGACGACTGTGACTGACCGAGTCGTCCAAACGGAGGTATAGATCGTAGTCGAAGGCAATCTTTTTCGGTTCCTCTTTGTTTTTGAAGTACACTTCGACGGGCAACTCAAAGCCCGCGTATCCAGACTCTGACACCTGATAAGGCGGCTCTTTAACCACTGAAGACAAGAGTGAAAGACAGAGTGAGTGAGTGAATAGGGTTTTTGGTGTTCAATAATACATCAATTAGTTGTCTATAAAAGTGTGGTTATAATAATAATAATAATAATAATAATAACAAACCTCTCTTCGGCTTTGGGAACGATTCGTGCAAATAGAAGATGACTTTCTCGACGAAGTGCTCGATACTGCTCTTCTCCGGTCCCCTCACGAAGACTGTCCTGTTGTTGTTTATTATCATTAGACAAATACAATTGGAAATCAAAATGGATGACAATATGTCAAACAAGACATTGAGAGAGAGACAGACCAGTCATGTGTGTGTCCATCTTCTTCGGCGACTACTGTCTTAGGTGTGGCTCTGTGTCCGATCTCGAGCTGCACTTCCACGTACTGAGACGATCGCTGCAGAGATGGTTAATCGTCAAACACGGGTTGGACACAAACAAATCAATCGGTCGGATAAATGACAGAAAACATTGATGAAGAGGAGGAAGAAGAATAAGAATAGACAGACGTATAAAAAAGTATTAATATTTCAGACAATCAATCAAATGATAGAAAATCAAATCAAAGATATATCTGATACTCACTGAAGACATTGCCAAATGGTTTCTTCACATTCAACGATAACAACAATCAATCAATTATTGGCTAATAATTATAATTATTATAAACACAAACAAAATAATAATAATAATAACAATTGGAAGGCATTTGTAGTGTTTTACTAATTCATTACAAATTATAATAAAAACATTTTTTTTTAAAATAAATTGTAAAACAAATTGTTTAGTATTTTCTAAATAATAAATATATTTATTTTTTTTAGTAAAACATTTTGCAATCAAATAGTATGTATTAAAGTGTATATTGAAGTCATCGATCACATCATTAATTATTTACTCGCATTAATACAGAGACTATCTATTAAAATACAGTTATATATATTACTAAACTAGTGTTGTATTGAAATTCTAACATAAAAATATTGGAAAACACATATTCAATGGCATTAACAGAATTACGCAATACTGTGTTAAAAGTTTCGATACGATAGTAGTGGTAGTAGTAGTAGTAGTAGTAGTAGTAGTAGTAGTAGTAATAGTAGTAGTACTGCAAGGGGTAAAAGTTATCATTAAAAAAATAAATGTACATGTTCAATTTTTAGATTTTTATTTTTTTAAAAAACAACTATTATTATTGTGTATCATTAAGATTAACGTGTAAAAACTGACTGGCTCAATTTTTTTAGTTTAATTTATAGATGCTGTGTAATGATTATAATTATATTTCAAGTGTCAATAATTTATTTTAATTTATTTTCTTATATATTTATATTACTCTATTGCTATGACTTTGTATAAATAATAATTTAATAAAATTATTATTATTTTTTTAAATAATAATTTTACATAAAATATAATAATAATTTTTTTAAAAATATAAATACAGTATATATATATAAATTTACCTATTTAAAAAAATATTTTATATACTTTTATATACTTATATATTTAAAATATATGAAAAATTAATTATCGCTGTCATTAAACAAATAATATAATTAGATGTTAAAAATAAATAAATAGTTAACTTACTTAAAATAATAAAATAGTGACCAAACGTTTTTTTTAAAAAAACAAAAATTAAAAATATGTATATAATTAATAATTTGCACAAGCACACTTTTCTTTTATTTTTTAAAATAAAACTATACAGTAGTAGTATATAATATATATATATATATACTGTATATATTGTCAACACAACACTAGTCTATTTATGCAAATGACTTGTATGCTATGTAGAGATGCTAACGTATTTGTCAAAAAAATAGTGTCCATTTAAAAAAAAATTGAAAAAAAACTAACTATAATTTAAAAAGCGTATTATATTTTTAATTCAATTAAAAAATATTAAAACAAACAAAAAACAATTGTCGTCATATCCAACACGTGTTGACCAATGCGCTCGTGAATGTACGGCACGATAGCGCGCGCGCTCTTTCCACGGGTCCCGACATATTCTCTCTCTCTCAACAACACACGTGTTGACCTCTACTACTACTACTACTATCTAAAACACTATGACATCCATTGCTATTAATATATTCAATGAGCAAAATGTCTCCACAATTGAGTCAATGAATGAAACGCTAATATATTTACTGAAAAAATATTTATCGATAAAACTAAACCATAAAAAACAAAAAAACAATTTATTTTTAATTCAATTATATTTTTATTTAATTTTTTATTTAAATTATTAGTTTTTAACTGTTTGTTTAAAATTGTGAATCAAATATATATATATATATATATATTAGTGACGATCATTAATAATAGCCATGACTTTAGATGTTAACGATGAGCCCGGGTTTGTATTGTTTTATTAATAGCCGCCCATTGAATGCATGTATTGATGAACAGTTAAAAGTAGGGGAACGGTATGTCCGGCTAAAAATGTGGGCTTTAGTTATGCCATTAAAGTATATGACTGTCCTCTTAGTCATACATTATAACAGAGTTGAAAGGGAAAGGCATGTCATATGTCACGAGAGTGTATGTGTGTGTATAGGTATAGGTATTAGTCAGTCATTGTATAGTTATATAGTATAGTGTCGGTCAACACTACACGTGTTGTACCCAACATTATTAGCGGCCATTTACTTAATAGCTATCATCACCGCAATTGATCCCATCATTATTATCTCTAGTCATACCAAACAACTATATTGTATTGAATTTAATTAATATAAATAAAATATGTCTTATTATAGTAAACTATTTATCGGTGGTCTCAGTTGGGAGACGACAATCGGTAAGTCATAATTGATCCCAAAAAACCTAAGACCTAATCAATTTGATTATAATTTTTGTTTGTTTACAGAAAAACTGACAGAATATTTCTGTCGTTACGGCGAAGTAAGCGACTGTGTGGTCATGAAGAATGCCGAGACGGGCCGTTCCCGTGGTTTCGGTTTCGTAACGTTTAAGGATCCGTCGTGCGTACAAATAGTGATGGCCAGTGGCCCGCATGCGCTCGATGGCCGAACAGTACGAATTGAATTAATACCGATTTATTAAATAGCTTTAATAATGATAACTATTTTAATGTATTTTGTTCGACCAATCAATTAGATTGATCCCAAAGAATGCAATCCAAAGACCGCACAAAAGGGCAAACGAGATGCAAAAGTGGGAAACTTTCCGAAAGTATTTCTCGGAGGACTTCCACCCAATGTTAACGAAACAGTACTCAGAGATTATTTCTCAAAATTTGGAAAAGTATTTAAAATTTAATTTAATATTATTACTGATAATTGTTTAATCATTTTATTTTTTTTTTTTTAAATTAAACAATAGGTTATCGAAGTGGTTATTATGTATGATCAGGTATGCGATTAATTTTTTAAAATTGTTTTTACGTTAAGTAATATAACATTTATATTTTTTTTTAGGAGAAAAAGAAAACACGAGGTAATGAACAACAACTTTGTATTCATTAGAGGTATTTAATTGAATTAACAGGACTTATGTTTTATATATATATTAATTAATTTTAAGTAATATTTTGAAATTTAATTAACTTATTTATCATTATTAAGTAATTAAATCTAGATTTAATTTAGTATTATTTATGTAATACGTTTATGCTTTTAAAATTGCTTAAAAGTAATCATTAATTTAAGTGTAAGTATTTATATAACAATATATTATTATTCATATAATTTTAATGCAATTGTTTTTAATTAATATATTATTATATTTTATATTTTAGGTTTTTAATTAATTGCAATCCTATAAATCTTACATTATATATTTATATATAGTATTTATTATAATATAGTGATCTTCTAATAATAACTTTAATTAATTATAATATTTATTAATATTAAAATTATCGTTAATAATATCGTATAATTAATAATAATTAAGTGAATAATACTGATTAGTATATGTTTAGTAAAAACATAAGTCAATTAATGCAATACAATCCTCGCATAAAACAATTGAGTTTTAAAAAATTATCGTTAATTTAAAAACTGGAATTTGAATGCATTTGTTGTTGTTGTGGTTAGGCTTTGGATTCTTGTCCTTTGATTCAGAAGATACCATTGACAAAGTGGTCAAGGAACATTTTGTCAGCATCGGTGGCAAACAGGTTAACAAACATATAACAGTCCTCTCAGTCAGTCATCAATCAATTCATCAATTGATGACCACAACACCCGTGACCTCACTCTCATGCCTTGTCTGCGACTATGATCGCACTGTTCACTAAAATATTGTTATCAATATATAATATATTTATATTATGCGCTCATTTTGTTTAAGTGTTGTCTAATATTAAGATATTTGTTAAAATTAAATTTTTTATATATATTTCTAATATTAGTTTAATAATATAAAATTAGTTAATATATATTTAATTATATATTATTATAATATTTATTTTTTATTAATTTATTATCAATATTATTAACAATTTTTTAAGCTATCATATATTTTTATACTTATAATTAATAGTTATTTTTCACAATTAATTAGTTATAAGTTGTTGTTTAAAGACTTCGCATGAGAGAGAGGTTTAAGGTTATTGTCTGCGATCTAAATATTATTTTATTATTATTATTAATTTAGTTATTTCTTATTTTCATTTTATTTCAAATAACATTTTTTTAATATTAAATCTAATAATAATTTAATTAAAATATAATTAGGTTGAAGTCAAAAGAGCCGAACCCAGAGATAAGTCAAGTGGCAATTCAATGAAGAACCATATGGGCAATTCACCGATGCAACAGCACGGCGGTGGCCACCCGATGGCCGGAGCTATGCCACCATGGAATCCAATGTGGGGACCACAAGGTGGACCGCCGATGCACGTTCCACCCCCACCTGGTCAGCCACCGCCGCCCACTGCGGCCGGAGCACCGATACCTGGAATGCCGAACGGAATTCTTCCCGCCGGCTATACTCCTGCTTGGAATTCCAGTCAACAAACCGGTGCCTATGCTGCCGGCAATGGTTGGACACAACCGCAAAACTATCCGAATTATCAACAGTGGACAGGTTATGGATACCCGCCGCCAGGTTGGCAGGGATACGGATATGGTTAGTGTATTTTAAATTAAATAGTATTGCCGTAATCATAACTGGCCTTTGTGTTACCTTAGTTTGAAATGATTTTTTACCTCAAATTAAGGCGTCAAACAGGGCCAATATTATTTGATTTTTGATTAACTTATGTTTATTTAATTGAATTAAATCAATTGTAATGTTATACTAATTAAATCAACATTTAATTATCCATTAGGACCATACAATACCACTTATCCTGGCTATGGCCAAGCGGCGGCAGCGGGACAAGGCGCTGCCAATGCCACCCAAACACCAGTAGCACAAGCAGCGATTGCTGGTCAAGCGGCCGCCAACTCGGCCGTCGGTACATACATGCAAGCCGCTGGCGCTACTGTAACTCCCGGTGGCGCACAAGTAGTCGCTGCAAATGCCGGCGCCGCTGCACCACAAGCGAGCGGTTAGTAATAAAGTTAATTTGATTCCAAATTCGTTTTTTGTTAATTCGTAAAATATATAGTATTTATTTGGCACTAAAAACTACTCGACTTAGGCACAGCCATCGGCACATATCAACAGGAAGCTTCCAGTTATGGGCCGGCAAGAGTTGGCAGTTATGCCAGTGCACCTAATTATACCAACTATGCACTGCAAGGACAGGGAGACGCATCGGCATCAGCAAACACCTATAGTGCCAATGCCAGCGCTAACGCTGCTCCCTATACCAGAGCTTCATCACAGGCACAGAGTTATCATCCATACAGAAGAGTTTGAACAGGAGTTTAGTTCTCTCTTGGTTTTGGATGCGCACAACTGATCCGATGATATCAATCTGATTATATAATATTTCTTTGATGATGTGTCGCCTCTTTTTTAAAATTGTAGTATTTCTTAATTTTCAATCAATATATACCCATAAATCATATGTTATTATTATTATTTACTGTATGTTTTTGACCGCATTGTTGGCACAATTTGTGGTCTTAACAACAAAACAAACAAAAATATGTCATCTCAATAATCATTTATATATATAATAATTATCTCAAATTAAAAAACAAACCAAATTATGACATAAATTGTGTGCGGATTTGTCTTCTGAAATGAATCTGTTTTTATATAATCTCATCATCTTTTTCATTGAAAAACAAACTAAAAATTAATTGTTTTTTTTCTAATATTTAATTCGTAAATCACATTCCAATGGATAACTCTTTAGTTACCATTGATTACTACTTATAGGGATTTGATTTATACTATTATTATAAATAGATTAGTGTTTTTGTCAATTGTTATTTTAAAAATTATTATTTAATTTATCAATCATTTATTTAAACCAATTATACAGTATAAATATATTTCATTAAAGATATAACCATTAAATTATAACAAAATACATTTTTAAAAAATTGTGACTTATTTCAAAAATTTTTAAGTTATATTTTTATGAAAATAACTACTACTAGTAGTACTTTAAATGACTGTTATATAAATTGCATTTAAAATATTTATTAAACTGGTTTAATTGTGATGTCATTTTGGTACTGTATTTTTGTTGCTAACAGTCTTTAATAGTAAATTGAAAAAAATATTTATGACATCTAATCACATAATCTAATTAAAAAATAAACATTAAATCGACTGATAATTTCATCAAAAATAAAGTCATTGATTTGTCATACGCTATAATAAGATATATCTATAAGTTATAATAGATTTTTATATTAAAAAAAACAAAATTAGTTGACAATAATTATTATTATATAGAAAATTTTTGAATGCAATTATTTAACTGTCTCTAACATTTTATATATGTTGGAAAAATATTTAATTATTTTAAATCACATTATAGTTAATAATATACAGTATATATATAAAACATACCATAGTTTATAGACACAGTATTTATAGGAACCGTTTAAATCAATTAAATTATTTTTAGCGAAAAAGATATGTTTAGACAGTTTCGGCGAAACCCACTCTTTTGTTTCCGTAATCAAATTCAGTATAATAGGGACCAATAAAGACGTCGCCCAGAATCCAGAGCGGACCCATTGGTTTCGGTACGTCCAGTCCTATGAAGCCGGATATACACATTGTTTTGCCAAATTGTGTTACTTTGAGCACGTATTGGGCGGCAGTCAGTTTGAATACTTTGCCGCCGATGACAAACGATATTTCAGGCATTTTGTCGATATCGTCACATTTGACCAAATACTGGCCCATAGCTATAGGTGTGGCACCAATTTGTCGGTTTAGTTCTTTGATTTCGTCGGACGGACCGGCAATCAGCGAAGTTCCCGTATCGGCGATCGCTTGGCAGCCATCCTTACAGAATTGATCGCCAGCGGCGGCGGCTACCTGTCCACTACCAACACCAACACTATCCATTGTGAATTGCCAATAACCGGGCTTCTGGACCGAAACATAGGTAAAATTGCCCTTATAGTGATCGGGATCTGATCCGCCGAATATAATTTCACCGCCCGGCCCAGTAGTGGTGTCCCGGTTCAAGTAAAACGAAAACACTGGCGTCGAAACAATTCCTTGTTTGATCATATTGTTGAAGACAGTGGTCACGCCGTCCACCGATATTGTGTCGAATCCCAGACCAAGAATTCCGTCAAACCTTGCGGCCACAAATGCAATGCCCGGCTCAGAGGTTGCCTCACCGAATGTCTGGTCGGTAATCTTGGCCGTACCGATAGCTAGCAGATCGGTGCTCAGAAATCCTTTCATACTACCCGATCCGTATCGGATCTCCAGATCGGTTCCGTTGGCCTTATATGTCGAAGACTTTATCGAGTCATACTTGTTGTGCAACAAACAGGCAATGTCTGTCCATTTGCATGTCTTCGATGGTATCCATAGGTTAGAGCTGCCGGTGTCGAAGACTACCTATTCATAAGAATAATCAATGAATTACTTACCAATTATTTTCAATTGTTATAGTTTTGACAAATTAATACTTTGAATGATTGCGGGGGAGTTCCCAGCGATATGACTCCATAGTACTGGGCATCCAAGTAGTTTGACAACGGTTCGGGAATCGGCTGCAAACCTGATCGATAGTGTTTCAGGTGATGCAACGGTAGAGCATATTTGACCGAAGTTTCCACTTCATGTAACTGTCGCCGAACTGACGGTATCTTATGGAGTGGTATTCTGTGCAAGTAATGGCCATTACTTTCATCGGCAGCGGCGGCCACTACTGTTTGGCCATAATTCAGACATAGAACTGACAATAGTAACAAAGCCGACACAACTTTCATCTTTGATTGACTTTAGCAAACTGTTTAGCGATTTGTTTGGTTTGGTTGTTGTGTTAGTTAGTCTTCACAAATCAGATATATAGAAATGTTTAGATTTATTGATTTTGATATATAATAAACTTATAAATAGATTTCAAATCTATTGACTATTGGCTGAAACAAAGCTATCGATTCATTCATTCATTCATTTATATGGCTTTTGGCAATACATCTGACAAAAACTCCTCTCTTTCTTCTGTTGTTTACTCTTCTCTTAGTTGGAAAAAACTCTTCTCTTTTAAAGTAAAAACTTTTTTTCAAGTCTTAAGTATTGATATCTTTTTTCTTATATTTAACTTATGATAAACTTTGTTGTTTTTTTTAGTTAATAATTTTAATAATCATTATAATTATATCATATATTTATATTAAATGATTGCAAAACAATTAGCTAACAATACAGTTATATAATATATTTCAACAATTTTTTTTTAAATATTAATTACTAATTTAGTTATGTATTTGCAGTTTCAGGTATTACAATGCATGGGGTAAACTTTTTTTTCTAAATGTGTGAATACATGACTATTATTCATAATATTAATAATAATTATAAATTTATTGACTCTTATTGTGTATTGTATATGAATAATGTATTTAAGTTATGAATCATAAGATTATGATTAGCTGTTTTTAATTGTTTATTAAATAAACTTTATTTATATAGTATTTATTAGAGTTTAATTTAATCAAAAAAAAATTGATTTATTGATTATTCATATGTTTGTGTCAATAAGGATATTGAAATAATTAATTAATTCAATTAATCAAATATTAAATTAATTAAAACCATACAAATTGTATACTACAATACATTAAATATTTTTTATGTTACAATTTTAGCAAGCAATTTTTGGATATTATATTAAAATTAATTTCAATTTCCTTTATTGCATTTGTTATTTATTTGAATATTTTTTTAATTAAATATATAATAAATTGAAATATAAAAATAATATCTAGTATAAATTTATTATACAGCATATAAAGTACATAATGTGTACTTTCCATAATATAACTGTATTAATAATATATAAATTTTTATTATACTATAAATTATAAATAAAACTTAAATATATATAAAAAAAAATCTCATATAATAAAACTTAATATGTTTGAAATATATAATTTATAAAATCATTTCATAATTGTTTATATAATATAATGATAAAATTCTGTAATTAATATGAATACTATGTATACAAAATTGAAGGCATGCACTTTTTGTATTGATTCACATTTGTATTAAATATATAGTATAGTATTGTATATTAATTATTTATAATCGATATAAAAACCTGTTTTTTAGCTAAATATTTATAAATGAAAATATAATCTAATTTTACATCAATTAAAATGTTTATATTATTTATTTACTGCATATGAAAATACTGTATCTTTTACATTAAAAAAAAAACAAAAATATTTATAATCAAAATGTCATCTAAATGGATGATTATTGGCATATCTGGGTATGTACTTTGTATAGAGACTATCTGTATGCTAAGTGCATAAAACTTAACTATAATTTTAAATAAAATTTTTAAATATATTAAAAAAATTAATGATAATTATAAATAAAAAAAACATGGTATCAAAAAATAAGTGTGACCTGCGGCGGAAAGACAACTTTGACACAACGATTGGCCCAACATTTTACTGATTGTGTAACAATGGACCAGGATCAATATTTTAGGGTATGCACTTTTTATCGAAATTATGCAAATTTTATTTGTTAACAATTTTTTTTGTTATTGAATTAATTTGACCGCCGATTAGCTTGAAGAGGATCCCAATCACGAATGGGTTGACGTGAGTCCCGGAGTGAGACACCAGAATTGGGAGAGTATGGCCAGTATGGACTGGCAGGCGATGACCAATGCGATCAACGATATTATTGCCAAAGAGCCGCCCAAATCATCTGACTATCCGGCGCTTTTGATTGTCGACGGATTTCTTATATTTAATTATAAGTATTGAACTTATAATTTATTTATTTTTTCTCCACAAATTAAACACATATTTTTTTATTATTTATTATATTTTGTTTTGGCTTTTTTCTGGTGAAGACCTATTTCCGATGTCTTTTACAAGAAATTTTTTATAACCATAGATAAGGATGAGTGCCTTAGGAGACGTACTGAAAGAGCATATTTACCGCCCGATCCTAACGGCTATTTTGAGTCGTGGGTTTGGCCAATGTATTTGAAAAACAGACACCTAATGAATGATTGTCAAAATGATGTACCAATTGGTAAGTTTTACAATAGTTTCATTTTTTGTGAGTAATTAATTCAATTTTTTGTTGTGATATAATTAATTTGAATATATTGTAGAATATTTGGACGGAAGTCTCGATAAGGATATCATATTTGAGACAGTTTTAGAAAATATTAATCAATTGCTTTCACAACAAACAAAGTTATAGCTAATACATTATTTTTATTGGATTTTTTTTAATTAATCAAAACCATAGTTAATAATTTTTATATTTGATTGAATTAATTGATTTTAAAAAAATAGTTTTATTAATTATAGTTACAATTATTCTTTTATAAGTAATACTATAAAAATGAATATTTTAAACTATATGTTAGTATATGATAACTAGAAGCTAGTTGTATCATGTGGTTCCATGGTGTAATGGTTAGCACTCTGGACTCTGAATCCAGCGATCCGAGTTCAAATCTCGGTGGGACCTCAGAATTTATTTTTTAATTTTATAGGATTTTTGAATTTCATTACTTTATTTTATAATTTTTTAATTAATTAATCAAATGATCAACAAATACATGTATAAATGTTAATACATATTCAAAAAAAAAGTAGTCATAGTTTATAAAATACACATTTAATTAGAAGATATAAAGAAACAAAAATCAAGATTATTGTGAATAAAAATTATTATTAAATTAAATAAATCAAATCAGTCTTTAGTCGACTCTTCGGTTGGCTCAGCAGTCTTCACCTGATCCATACGTTTCTCTTTTTCCAAATCTGACGCCTTCTTCGATCCCGAAACAATGTCATCGATTCGCAACAGAAGAATAGCAGTCTATTTGCAAAAATAAGTAAATATTAGATAAAAACGTCTTTCGAAAGATTAATAACAACAACAATAACAATACAGACCTCGACAGCTGTCTTGTAAACCTGCGATTTAACCGAAAGCGGTTCCCAAACGCCCAGCTGCGAGATATCACTCAGTTGTCCAGTTTCGCCATCGATACCCCACGACTTGTTGTCAGCCGCAGTGGTCGCGTGTTTGGCCCGCAAAGCTGTCAACGTTCGGATGGTATCGCCGCCACAGTTTTGTATCAGTGTTCGCGGAATCACTTCCAACGCTTTCGGTATTGCTTTGTATGGCCACTGATGAACGCCTGTTATCGATTTGGCCTTTTCGTTCAATATCTTTCCCACTGCCATCTCAACGGCACCTCCACCGGTCAATATAAACGGATCCTTATAGATATTGCGGGCGACATACATGGCGTCCTGAAGATTGCGTTCCAATTCGTTCAACATATCTTTGGAAGCGCCGCGTAATAGTATGGTACATGCCTTCGGGTTCTTACAGTCGACAATAAAAGTAAAATACCTATAGATTTGAGGAAATTATAACAAATATCGGTAATTTGAGATTATTGTTGGACAGAATGAGTGTAAAGGACTTACTCGTCACCAATCTTCTGGACTTCAAACAGACCGGCCTGTAGTCCAATGTCTTCCTCACGGATCTCATCTGGTCTGTTAACAATTGTAGCTCCGGTAGCCTTTGCAATGCGATTGTTTTCGGTTTTCTTCACACGCCTGAGCACCGATATGTCTGCCTTTACTAAGTAGTGTTGGGCCAAATCGGAAACACCTTTTTCGGTGATAACCAAATCGGGTTTAAACTTAATAATATCCGAACACATCTTTTGGACGAATTCTTCTTCGATTTGAAGCAAACGATTAAAATCTTGGTCTTTGGATATCTCGATATCGGTCTTCGAGAAAACAATTCAATAAAAAAATTATTATTAAACATTTAAACACTAATCAAATCATATTTTTGAACAATCAATACCTGACTCTCGCCCTTCTTGTACTCCAAACCGCTGTCGAGTAACAAAATTCTTGGATTTTCAATACGTCTGTCAAACAGAAGAACCAAATTTTTCATTACAATTCAAGATATCTTTCTTTAGATAACAATATTAAAAATTCAATTACCTTCTCATCTTTGAGTGGACCACATCCTTGTTAAGCATAATACCGGTCAGAACTCGTGATTCTTCGATCATACCTCCCGGTACTTTCTCCACTTTGGCGTACCTTTTGATATCAATCTCTTTTTTACCATTCTCTTCGACGGTAACCGTTTTGACCGCATTCAGTGCCAAATTGCAGGCAAACTCACCCCTAATTTAAAGAGATATTTAGATTTTTTTGTCATTCAAAGACATTCATAAGAGTTTAATAATATAAATGGGATTCAAATGATACCAACATTTTGCCGAAAATCTTGGTTCCGATACAACTCTTGATTAAGTCGACGACTTCGTTGTCATTATTGATATTTATTGGTCGCGCGGTTTCCTTCAAAATATTCAGTATATCTTCTAAGGCCTGTCTGTAGGCACTGATGATGACAGTCGGATGAATGTTTTGTTCGAGAAAAGGTTGGGCAACTGTCAACAGTTCGCCGGCCAATATGATTACCGAAGTGGTTCCGTCGCCAACTTCTTCGTCCTGAGTGCGGCTAATTTCGATCATTGTTTTGGCCGCCGGATGTTTGACGGTTATCTCGCGCAGTATGGCATTGCCGTCGTTGGTCATCACAATACTGCCCATTGGATTCATTAACATCTGAAGACAGTAGAGGAAAGGAAAAACAACAGAAGAGAAGTGATCAGTACTTTGCTCGCCATTTCCATTGCCATATAAGGCGTGGATGTGTTTGTGTTTTTTTTGACAATACCTTAAGCATAGCTCGCGGTCCCAAACAGGTACGGATAACGTCGGCAATGGCTTTGGCCGCCCGGATGTTCTCCAATTGGACTTTGCGGCCAAATTCGCGTTTCATATTCTGGCCTACGGTTCAAAACAAAACGGCGAAAACCATTAGCGGCAAAAAAAAACACAAACAAAAAGTGACAAAAAACACTTACCTAACACAAGTATTTGAGGGGCGCCTCCCATGCCTCCCATTCCTCCCATTTGATACATGATTGTTGAATGTGTGGTCGGATGTCCGTCGGGTTCAAAGCGCGGGGCAATTGAATCAGTCTTTTTTGTTGATTGAAAAAGACTTTGAAAATCAAATGATTGAATGAATGACTGAAATAAAAGCACACTTTCTGTTGTCTATACAGACTGTAAATGTGTGTTCACTACACCCACGTGTAGTGGGTTCGCCTCCAGAGGTCGCCAGTAGTGACAACAGTCGACACACACGACACTAATAGCCAAACACCTGACCGTAGACTTGACTGCATAACATAACTTCTGCAATGTTTTTTCACTGCAATACTATTCTAGGGCTTCACTGCTATACAGTAGTAGTAGTGTCTGTTTGTGTATAGAATTTCTGTGTGTCTATGAATTGACTGCCAATACTACTGTATATAACCGTATAGTATATACAATAATAACCAAAAGCATTGAATGAACAGTTCAGTCACTATAGGAATATATAGTGGTTTTGTGTATTATATTGTATTGTATTTAATGTTATTTATTATTATTATTATTACTTTTATCATTATTTTCATTTGAGTGCCACACAAATGGATTAGACATATGAGAGTATATAATATCTGATTAAAACCAACAAAAATATATATATATAGTACTTATAAATACAAGTACTTCTAATAGTGTGTAGATATAATCAAGTTTATGTGAATATATGATTGATATATAAATATAATACTTATTTTTAAAAATATTTTTAATTAATTAAATTAATTAATTAATATATAAATACAATAAATGTATTTTCTAAATAATAGTAATAAAGTCAATAAAATTGTTGGGATAATAAATTTGTCGAAATCAATGCCTACCTTATCTGTGATCAGCACAACATAACTAACTAGCCATGGATTTGGGTAATTATATTTTGTTTTAAAAAAATATTTATTTATTTGGTACTAGGTTAATTATTATTATTTTTTATAAAATATTTTTAATACTATGACACTTTATTGTTGAATTTTAATAGTACAGAATATTCTTTAAATTGAATTTGTATGTAAATATATATATATATTTTTATAATGTACTAAAAATAATGATACTAATAATAATGATTTAGCTGAAATTTTTCAATACATTTGTGATTTATTTAAATGTTACGATCGATAAGAGTTTTCCCTCAAAAAATATACATATATTATATATATACTAAACATTTGAATGCTGTATAATATAAATAAAATATAAATTATTTGTTATTTAGATTAAATATTTAAGACTTACATTTATATGCTAATATATATTTATTTAGTTATTCATTCAATATATTAAATTATAGTTTCTAATAAACATTTATAAGTATAAATATAATTAAATATAATTTTCTTTGATTTATTATTTTTTTAAAATCATAATTTTTTAATAAATAGGTAATTAAATTAAACAACATTATAAATTATATATTAATGATTTGTACAATTTGTTTTACAACTATTAATACAAATAATAGTAGTAATAATTAAAATAGTATTATTATCATGACATCAATAGTAATAAATTTGATATTTACATTAACAATAATATCATTTTATTAGTTAAATTTTAAAACTTCTTATACAATAAAACCGTAAAAATGCAATTTTATTAAATTATATACAGTAGCGACTAATAAGGGCAAACAAATAAATGCAATTAACCAAACAAAAAGATTTATAGCATCTATTAAAACGGATAAATTGAAAACGATTTACATATTAAATAATTATATTTACTGTGTATTTATATTATGTTATACAGTGTGTATTATAATAGTTAAACATATAAATATATGAGGGATTTAAAAAAAAGGTACTTTACATTATATTTATGCAAATTAATTAACCCAAATCCCAGTAAATCAACAATAATAGTAATGCTACTAATAACAAATTTTAGTATAACAATTATGGGTTTTGTTAAATTACTTAAATTACAAAAATTGTTAATGTTAAATTACTAATTACATTAATTTATTATTAAATTATTATAACTTTATTATAGTTAGGCTTAACTATTATATAGTATATTATATTATGGTTTTATTCAGTATACTATATATTGTATACCGTATAATAACTTACAAGCGATAAGATTTTATTTTAATATTTTTGTTGAGATTATTATAAATTAATATTAAATGATTGCATAATTGTTGTAACTATGCTATTAATATTATTAAAGTAACTTTAATATAACTTTAATATATTGTACATAATATATACCGTACTATATACTGTAATTGTTAAAATTTATTTATTTGTTTGTTATTTTTATAAACATATGTGACAAAAACATTTATTATTATAAAAAAAACAAAGTTTACTTTAAATTAGTAAAACAACTGATATAAAAATGTATACATATTTTTGGTTACTATAAAATTAATAGAGATTAAAATTGATACTTAAAAATGTTTTATTAAAAGATAAATGTTTTTTTAAAATTAAATATTTCATATATTTTGCAAGATATGACTCATATTATAAATGTTATAATTTTCATATTTAATTGATTGTGTAAATTGTATAATATATTAATTTAGAATTTATAGTATAAATAAAATTGGAGTAATATTAAATAATTGTTATTTTTAAAGTATTAGTAAATTATGATTATATTTAAAAATTAAATTTAAAAAAAATCTATTGGCTATTATAGCTAGTATTAAACATAATAAATTATTATGAAAATTTATTTTCAGTTATTTTAAATGACATTTTTCAAAATTAAAGTAAAATTTAATTAATTTTATGATAAATAACATATTTAGTAAACTTGTTTAAATAAAGTTATTAAACTTGTAATCATGCTAGATTAAATTTTTTATTTTTTATATATAAAATGTTTGCTTTTAATTTATATTTTTAATAAAATATGTAAATAAAAATATATAAAGTAAAATCAAATTTATTAAGTCGATAAATGCAAAAAAAATATTTTGAAAATATTAAAAACATAATAATATTTTTAATCATAAAATATGTTTACAACAATACAGTATTGTTGTATAATATTTGTAATTTACTATAATTTATATATATATTAATACCATATAATAGTTTTGTTTATATCTGTAACTGTTTTTTAGGTAACAGAATATTCTCTATAGTATATTATTATAATCAATTTAAATGTATAGTAAAATACTGTATCTCTACTATACACTTAGTTCACTGTATATTACAAAAAGTATATTTTATATTAGATTTTATTAAGTTATTATTTTTATTTATCTAAAAAATATTTCAAATATTTTATTTTTAAAAAAAAATAATTCTACAACTTATATAAAAACTTAATAGTGTTGCTGTATGTGATTATTTTTGAAAAATTTTAACTTTAATTTATGTTATAAAAGCTATTTAATAGTTTATACTGTAGTAAACATTTATATATTTTTTCAAATGTATATTATATTTGGTATATACAGTATATAGTTATTTCTGCATTTTTCTAAAACTATAAAAAATATTGATATTACATAAACAATGCATAAAATTTTTGATCATTTTTTTTATCGCAAAAGCCTATCGATTACATGAGATTTTATTATTATTATTATTTGTTTGATAACAAAACTAAAATTGTGTCAAAACTAGACATAAAATTAGGAAATCATTATTCTTAACGTAAACTCTAATGATTGAGTGGTCATAAAAAATAAAAAAGTTTTTTTAACTCATTATTATTAAAAATCATTTTTTATATTCAAAGCACATACATTTAGCACAATTATATTTTATACCTTATCTTTAATTATATTGTAAATATAATAAATTAAATAATAAATATTAAATGTGTTGTACACGCAAACAATAATCTTTATATATCTATTAATATATCTATAATATTTACAAAATGATATAATTTATTTTCCATATTTTCATTTATTTTATTATTTAAAAAAAAATAATAATACCTATATTATAATACTTTATTCTATGATGTCATAAATATTATATTAATTAATAATTTTAGAAATTTTATGGCAAGTGTTATAGTTTATAGTCAACAAAAATATATATTTTTTAATAACATCTGTTTATTTTGTTTTAAATAATCATTTTATTTGTTGGTATTATTTAGACGATTCTAACGACAACGGATCGGATGGTTGTTGTCATAACTCGATGAGTAGGCCATACCTATCGAGTGTCTGTCCACAAGTCGATTGTTATCAGTCGTCGCTATTGAAAGCCGTTAAGCGCAACAACTCTTGTTCACCGCAGAGTAGTCCACAAAGACATTACAATTCATCACAACTGTGCCGTCGCGACAGTATCTGTACCGATGGTATGATTAAAATAATATATTTAAAAAATAAATAAAATTAAAACATAAAATGATAATTATTTTTTTGTTTTTTTTTGTTTTTACTATTATTATTATTAACATTACTTTTATCAATATGCTAATTGTGTACCAGTATATTATGAGTTATTTTATCTATTTTTAAAAATCATATCAAATATAAATGTAAATTATTTGAGACCTATAAATTTTATGATAATATATTATTTATATTTAAATTATAATGTAGACAACATTAAAATAATTATATACTTTTTATTATTTATTATTTTTATCCTATAAGTTATAGGCTATAACAAATAAATATATAAATATTTATTTGGAGGATTAAGGTGACCATTAGCCACTGTCATTGATAATTAAGTCCACATTAATACTCCCGTAATGTTATTAATTTATCCAACAAAAATATAACCGAAAAAATAAAAATATTAGCTGTATTTTTGCTTATGTGGCACTAATATATTGGTAAATCCCTTAACCCGTTATATCCATTAACGGGTTGTCATAACATCAAATTGTATAGAAAGAGAGAGAGAGAGAGAGAGAGAGAGAGAGAGAGAGAGAGAGAGAGAGAGAGAGAGAGAGAGAGAGAGAGAGAGAGAGAGAGAGAGAGAGAGAGAGAGAGAGAGATAGACAACCATAAAATACACATAAATTCTCGTTAATTTAATATTAAGAATAACAAGAATTTTATTGAATTATATATTTATTTATTTTTTTATACATAATATTATACGATATTATAATTCAATTTTAATGTTTTGATATTTCCACCCCCACCCCTACTTCCCCTCTATCACTAAAGCCTCGCCACAACAACCATCATCGCCAACAGGAACTAAAAAATTGAAAAAAATCCAAACAATTTGGTCGACAATTAAACGATTTTCTCCGGTCCATAGAATCAAGAATTATAATAAACGAAAATTAGATGAAAAAACTGAACGATTATATTCAAGTCATCCGGATATTAGTTACAGTAATTTAGTTGTATTGACACAAATTGAAAACCAGAGAAGCCGTGACGATACCGACGCTGCCATTGCGTTAACAAAGAGTAAGTCTAAGACTACGACGACAACAGCAAACAATGTCCATAAGCTTTTCGCCGCCGATAGTAATGAAAGTAATTGTGATGTTATTTACACAATGACTACTACAACGACTACTACTTCAGCAAACAATAGTAAACTTATTAATAATAAAATGGATTCACTTGACTGTGAAAATGTAAGTGCACTTCAAAATTCAGAATTAATTTTGTTATATATTTATTTATATATAAATATAAAGTACAGTACAGTACAGTATATTACTGAATAAATTTATAAAAGTTTTTACATAAAAATAGAGTTATATACTGTATTTGAGTTTTGAACTTCAAATAGTATTTCATAAAATCAAAATTCATTATTTCAAATATAAAATTTTATTTAGTTTTTTGTTGTTGTTGTTGTTGGGTATAGTTAGTTTACAATACATACTGTTTTATAAATTTAATCAACAACAAAAAATCTATACAAATTGAAATCTAGTGTTTTTCAATTAAACGATTTTCTCCGGTCCATAGAATCAAGAATTATAATAAACGAAAATTAGATGAAAAAACTGAACGATTATATTCAAGTCATCCGGATATTAGTTACAGTAATTTAGTTGTATTGACACAAATTGAAAACCAGAGAAGCCGTGACGATACCGACGCTGCCATTGCGTTAACAAAGAGTAAGTCTAAGACTACGACGACAACAGCAAACAATGTCCATAAGCTTTTCGCCGCCGATAGTAATGAAAGTAATTGTGATGTTATTTACACAATGACTACTACAACGACTACTACTTCAGCAAACAATAGTAAACTTATTAATAATAAAATGGATTCACTTGACTGTGAAAATGTAAGTGCACTTCAAAATTCAGAATTAATTTTGTTATATATTTATTTATATATAAATATAAAGTACAGTACAGTACAGTATATTACTGAATAAATTTATAAAAGTTTTTACATAAAAATAGAGTTATATACTGTATTTGAGTTTTGAACTTCAAATAGTATTTCATAAAATCAAAATTCATTATTTCAAATATAAAATTTTATTTAGTTTTTTGTTGTTGTTGTTGTTGGGTATAGTTAGTTTACAATACATACTGTTTTATAAATTTAATCAACAACAAAAAATCTATACAAATTGAAATCTAGTGTTTTTATAAATTATATATATATATTATTTGTATTTATAAGCAATAAGTATTAATAATATTAGAATCTTTTACATTATTCATCAAGTTTTTTAAAAAATATATAAATGTATATAAATATAAATAGTTTTGTTATTATTATAATAGACTAAATTTACTAAAAGAAAGTGATTAATTATATAATATATATTAAATTTATAATACATTATATTATTATACTGTATTAATATTAGTAAAGCTGAGAGAGAGAAAATTGCTTAAAATAATTAAGGTATATAATACAGTACAGTATGTTTAATAAATAATGTTTGCATAATATATTATAAGCAAAACTATTAACATAATATAATACGAGATATACTGAATATATAGGTATATACAGTATATATTTTATATCTCATAAATTATTAGTTTTATTTTGTATAAACAAAAATAAAATCTTAATTCAGGGTTGGGCTATATATTTGCCATTAGAAATGACATGTAATATAAATATATATATGTTTTAAATTAGAATTTTGTTTTATTTTTCTATTATAATAAAACATCTAAAAAACATTATCATAAGTATATATACTGTAATATTGATATATTTAACTTTGTAACAAAAAAAAATATTGTAATTGATTAGCAAACATATATACAGTATATATATACCGGTATATAAAGATTGACTCTGATTTGTTTAAACTAAAAGTAATTTTTGCAGTTTTCCGCTAAAAATATTAGTTACAAAAGTTGATGTCAGGAACTGAAATGTTTTATTTTAAAAAATAATATTATATGAAATCTAGAAATTTTGTGAGTGTTTTAGTATTAAAGTACATTACCAGTTATTATTAGTATTATATATTTCTATATAATATACAGTATTATAATAATAATAATAATAATACAATATCTTATAAACAATATCTCATGAGGGCTTTAATGATTATAATTTTTTGCTACGATTTTCTGTTTCATAGCAATAAATTACAATATATCTATGAAATATATTAATATTATATGATTATATATACTGTATATTATCGCCAATTGTGTGTCATATATTTTATAAGTATATATACAGTATATACCCAAAAGTGCTATTGAAAATTAAAATGCTAATCATTTTTCTAGTTTTTTATTTATTTATTTATTTAATGTGAACATATGGTCTATGTGTGTGTATATATATACAGCAAAGTTTTTTTTTAAAAAACAAATATTATAAAACAAACCAAATAAAAATTGATCAAAAAATCTACAGTATGTTAGCGAGAAATAAATTTTTAGTTTGTCTGCTTATTTAGTGTGTGATCAAAAAAAATTATTTGTAAAAGTTTTTTTATTATTATTATTTTATGGTACAAATATTAAAACAAAAAATATATATTTTAGTCTAAAAATTACTTAAGAAAAATACGAAGAGTTATGTCGTCTCGTATAAAAAAGTTTATGTATAATACAAAATATCAATATTTAGTGAGTAGATAGTGACTTACAAATGTCACAAATGTTTTTCAAATCAATAATATAAATATATATATATATATATTATATATTATATATTATAAAATATTTATATATGTATATATAATTATTGTATTGAATATATGATGTGTGATAAAAAAATGTATATAACACATACAGTAGATATTATTAAATGTGATATTTGATTTTACAGTAAATAAATATAGATATATAATATTTATTTATTTTCAACAGGAATTGGCGTTAAGCCGGCAAAGAGTAAATCTTTTAAGACAACATCCCTTTTATCACTTGGAGGTACACTTGGTTTGTGCCACCAATTTGTTGGCAAAGGATGCCTGCGGTATGTTATCCCTAACTATAACTATTTCAGAGATCCTAATCATTACTATTATTATATTTATATATATATAAAATAAAATTATTGCATCTTATAGCTGGCATAAACCTCTCTTTAATAATAATAAAAAAAATTATAAGTCAATTAGATTATCCTCTCATAAGTATTCAGTCAATCATTACACAAATATAAAGTATTACTATTACTACTACTGTATGTTATCTAAATTTATAATTTGAAAATTAATATAATTTATATATAATATAGTGATGTACTGTACTGTATAATAAACTTATTACTATTCATACTATACTTTTTATATAATATACAGAATAAGTTAAATATTGATTTATTATTATTATTTATAATTATAACTTTATTTATAATTAGTAATAATTTAAAGATAATAAGTTAGAAAATAAACTTTTATTAATTTTCTATAGAAAATCAATATTAATAATAATTGTATAAATATTTATATAATAATTATAATTTTGAAAAAATAGTTAAAAATTTTAATTTCACTGTTTCCTGTTATGTGTTTTACATAAATAATCTGATTATTATTCAATAATATTATTTCAAAGTTAATTAATTATTTGTGAATTTTGTGTGAAAAAAACAACAATTTTAGGCACAAGTGATCCATACGTTAAATTCAAAATCGGTAACAAAATTGTATACAAAAGCCGAATTGTGGCCAAATGTTTGGATCCTAAATGGGACGAGTATTTTGTATTACCCATTGACGACGTTTTTCAGCCGATTATCATCAAAGCCTATGATTATGACTTTGGCTTTCAGGACGACTATCTGGGCGCCGCATCCATCGATCTGACTAAACTTGATCTACAAACGTGAGCAACAAATTAATTGATTGAATTTTGTTTTATTGGTTTTAATAACAATTTTAATTACAATTAACAAAAAAAAATATTTAAAAAATTGGACAATTTTTTTAGGCAAACAGATTTAGAGCTAAAACTTACGGAATCGGGTCTCGAGAAAGACATCGGTACTCAATCGTGGGGTGAAATCTTTATAACTGTTACCCTAATTGGCAAAACACTAGAGGAAAAAGAAATGGTAATTAAAATATTAAGTTATATTTTTGGCAAAAAATCAATTTATATTACTTTATAATTATATAAAGTTTGTATTATATTTATATAAATAAGATATCTATTATTTTTTTGAATTAATTTATAAAATAGCATTACAATAAAGGATTGAAGATAATTAGTTCGGGTAGCGGTTCGGATACTGGTGTCAAAAAGCCGACAAAAATACAGTTATGGGACAGTGTTGTCAACATAGTGTTAGTTGAGGCGAAAAATGTCAAAATCAAAGACGACAACACTTTCGGTGATCTACATATTAAGTTCAAATTGGGATCCGATAAATACAAGAGCAAAGTATTAATATGAGTTCTCATTATTTAATTTAATAATAATAATAATTTGTTTTGCTGATGGCCAGGTAGTACCGAAATCGGCTAATCCCGTTTGGGTGGAACAGTTCGATTTGAATACCTATTTGGATCAGTCAAAGGTTCTCGAGTTTTCTCTTTGGTCTCGCGAAGAGATATCGAAGGCAACTATCAATTTAAATGATTTGGTAACTGAAGAAACACATAAAATGTGGATCAACTTAGACGATGGCAGTCAAGTAATGATTTTGTTGACCATCAGTGCAACTCTTGGATCGGAAGCCGTCTCTCATCTCAGCAATTATGAGATTAATAATAGCGAACAAAACAACAAAGTTATGCTTAAAAAATATGTAATTATTATTATTATTATTGTTTTTTACAAATTAATATTTGTATTTATAATTATTTTTTTGAGTTTATTTAAATAATAATTATTTTTTTATAAATATATATTCTTTTCTAGACTTTGTTAAGAAGTTTGAGAGATATCAATGATATAGGATTTTTGATAGTTAAAGGTAAACATTTATATTTTTATAATTTATGAACAAATTAGGAATTAAATAAAATAAATTAGTTTTAATATATTGATATCTAACTTATGAATGATATATATATTGTCAATTAGTATATCGTGCGGAAAACTTGGCGGCAGCTGATATCGGCGGCAAAAGCGACCCGTTTTGTGTCCTCGAGTTGGTCAACACCCGACTCCGTACACACACAGAATATAAGACATTAAGTCCCGATTGGAATAAAGTCTTTACATTGTAAGTAATTTTTTAAAAAGAAAAAATATATTAAATTATAAACTAGAAAATTATTAAAATATTAAAATTTTATTTATTTAATTTATAATTAATTAATTTTGTTTTCAACAGCAATGTTACAGATATTCACTCTGTTTTGGAGTTAACTGTTTACGACGAGGACAGGGATAAAAAAGTTGAATTTTTAGGAAAAGTTGCCATACCTTTGCTTAAGGTATTTCTCAGCTAAAAATTTCAAATGTTTTTTATGATTGTTGTTAATGTTTTTTTATTTAACCATAAAAATCATTGATTTGTAGATAAAAAACGGTGAGAAAAAATGGTTTGCACTAAAAGATAAAAAATTATTGTCCAAAGCTAAGGGACAGATCCTATTGGAAATGGATATCTATTATAATAAAGTAAGATATTATTATTACTGTAATATATATAAGACATTTGTTTAGGAATTAGCTATATATAGATATATAAAAATTACTTTTAAAAAAACTAATAATTAGTTTTTTGTTGATAATCCGATTATCCGATAATCAGGTTAAGGCCAGTATCCGGACATTTAATCCGCGAGAATCTAAATTTATAAAACCGGAGCAACGATTTAAGCGAATTGTTTTTATCCGAAATGTTACCCGAATTAAGAATCTAGTGATGGAAATCTATGAAATCATTAAATTTATGAACAGTTGTTTCCAATGGGAATCAGTATCGAGAAGTATCCTATCGTTGATACTCTTCCTATTGTTTACCTATTTCTTTGAACTATATATGGCACCAGTTTTACTATTATTGATATTTTCAAAAACCTATATTTGGATTAAAGTTGAAAACTATTTCAATCCCAGTCTTAAAGAGGAAGAGGTTTGTTGTTATTTTTTTTTTAAATAAAAAAACTAAAATTTTTATATCATTTAATAATTAGATTACTTATGTTATTATGTGTACTGATTACTAATGCTAACTAATAAGTTAATTATATATATACAGTATATATAAAATAAATAAATAAAATGTAATTTCAAATGTAATTATAGATTGACGACGAAGATGAGGCCAGTTTTGATGATGAAGACGACGAAACTAAAAATGTAATTTAATTTTTCTTGTTATAATAAAAAAAATATTTTATTTTATATAAAAAGTGTAAAATAACAAATAAACAAAAATTTTAGATTATTTTTTTTAATTTTAAATTTTAATAGGAAGAGAAAAAATCATTAAAAGAAAAACTACAAACAGTTCAGGAGATTACAGCAATGATACAGAATATTATGGGAGAAATAGCGTCGTGTGGAGAAAGAATTAAAAAGTATATTACATAGAAAATTACCAGAATATTCCTTTATTTAAACATGTAATCAATAATAATAATAATAATACTTAAAGAATATTCTGGTATTTTTTGAAGTATTTTTGTTGTTGATTATTTTAAACCATTTATTTTTGATTTAATTTTTTTTTTTAAAAATTAAAATTTACAGTACGTTCAACTTCAGTGTGCCTTTTCTATCATGGCTTGCGATCATCAGTCTGACAATTGTAACAATATTATTATATAACCTACCCCTGCGCTATATTATAATGGCCTGGGGTGTCAACAAGTGGACAAAAAAGCTACGATCGCCCGATGCAATCAATAACAACGAATTAATGGATTTTCTGTCCCGAGTTCCCGATAACGATGAAAGGGTTAGTGTTTTTCTGTCTTTCAATAAATATATAATTATTTGATAATTTAATCCAATTATTATTGTTTTTTTATAATTATTAAATTAGGTAATGTATAGAGAATATAAAGTACACGCAAACACAGCGATGGCCGCCGCCAGTGATATTGACCGCAAAAAGAAGAAAAAGACGGTCTAAAAGAGGTTGTGGTTGTTGTTGTCTATCGGTATTTGTTTGTTTGTTTTGAGGGGAAAAAACCTATTATTTTAAGGCAATAGTTTGGTATTGCAAATGAATTTTCAGATCTATTGAGATGAAGTTATTTTGTGTGTTGGTATCGACAATGAATCTGATATACAGTATTAGGACAGTATTATTATTATTATTATTATTAAAGTCTTAAATATATATAAAATTTTAAAAAAGTTTGCTCAAAGTTGACAATTAACAATATATACGGTATAATAGTATAGTATATATTATATTTTGATTCATATCAATTATATATATATATATATATTAATAATTGCTATTAATATAAGCAATCATATTATTATTACTAATAATTAACTGTTACGACAATTATTTATAGATTTTATTATAATTGTTAAATCGTTGATCGTTATATATATATATATTAATATAAAAATATTGTACAGTATTTTTTACATATCTTTTGAAACAAAAATAATTTTATTGACTTTACATTTAATAATAAAAAAAAATCCGAAGCAATTGATTAAGTAATTTGATTGCAATTAATGTATGCAAAAAACAAAATCTCAAAGTTGTGGCAATCAATCAGCTATTGTTAACTATCGATGAATGAGATACAAGATTATCGTAAATCTTGATTGAAAAAAATCATGATTAAGACATTCCCGTTATTTGTTTTTTTTAATTGATTAAAATTATTATTAAAATCAAAATAATTTATAGTAATTTATAACATTTATTGTCAATTATGGTATTTTTCTCATAAGAGTTGTGGATATTTAAAAAAACGAAACAAAAATATTTGTTCACAAATTCATTAAAAAGCATTTATTTATTTTTTTATATATACTGTATATAATAATAATGATAAATATCTAAGTTTTTTGATAATTATTTAAAATTATTGATTTTGAGGTTACAAATGCTGTTTTTTTAAATTAAATACTAATAAATTGTTAAAATAATTATTATATAATAATATATTATTAGAAAAAATGTTCAATTTTATTGTCAAGTTTTATCCATTGAAACTAATGTGTATTTTCAATAGGAAAACTTGATTAAAAAATATTTCTATGCCTTAAATATATTATTACTACAGTATTATTAATATTATTAAAAAAAATTAAATCAATCAATTATTGCAAATTTAACTAAAATAAATAATCAAATTGTATAATTTCTAAATATCTTATTATATAACTTATATGATAAAAAAATATCATTGAATATCAACTATTTATAAATTTATTTATAATTATTAATAACTAATTAAACAAATTGCATTAATTATATTATTATTATTATTACTATTACTGTTAAACAAAAAATAATTATAATATACTTTCTCTCTACTTGTCTGTGATTATAAACTGTGTATAAATTTAATCCAATAAACGAAAAAAAAACATTAATTTAAATTAAAATAAATAATAAACAATAGTTACTTATTGATGAAAAAACATTAATTTTATTCATTTTTTTTAATTTAAATGTAAATTACATTTTCCGATCGATGGCCAAAACAAAACAACAAACTACTTGTGCTGAGCGGCCGCCGCTTTTCTTTGTTGAACCAAAACATTGGACAACTCGTCTCTCTTCCTCTTTGCCCGCAAATGAGTGCCGAGACGTTTCTTCAAGAACTTCAGGGCTCTCTTGTCTTTGGAGATCCTCAACAACTCCATACACCGGCGCTCGTACGGCGCAAAACCGCAAACCTCACGGACAATGTCGCGGACAAACTTGTTGTGACGGGTGATGCGCTGATAAAAGAAAAAAAATCGGTAAAAATATGGTCAAACATTCAAAGCAGTAAGTGATCAATGGTCGTCAACACGTTGTGTGTGACCACCGATGACGGCGGCGGCGATGATCACCGCATTTATTTTTAACCATTTATTTAGGTATTTACTTACGCCCTTAAAACTCGACGGTTTCGGCTTTCGTTCATTTTTGGTCACTTTATGGCCTTTGTGTAGACCGACCACTAAATCATATCGGGTTTTGGCCATTGTTTTTGTTGGGGATGTGTTGTCAAAATAGCTGATCCGCAGATGGATTACAATGTATTTCACAACAACACAACTGTCTGAAGGAAAAGGAAGTCTTTTTTCTTAACAACAAAATAACAATACATGTGATCATAAAAAGTATTCACAAACAACGTTACACACAATTTCTATGACATTTAATTAAATTAGTAGTAATAGTCTCCCCCATCACACACTCCCCTCCCCCTCAACAACAAACAATTAACTATTAATATCATCAGGTGGTACACACCACCTGCCAGTGGGGGTACCTCCCGGTCCTATACTTACAACAACTGGTACTTCAAAATTATTATTTATATTAATAAATATTGCTATTAATTATTAGTATATTAGATATTTTTAAATAAAAATCATAGTTTATAAATATCGATACCTGGATCAAATTTTAAATACCAGTATATATATAATGATCAATAATTATTTAATTGAAAAAAAATTAGTTTTTATCAATTATAAATATTTTAAGTTTAAATAATATTAATACATTTTTTTTTAAAATTTTGCTTACAATATGTTAGATAATGTTAAATAAATACTGTATAATGTTATATAACACTCAAATCTACAAAATGATAAGTAATATTATACAGTATATGATATTATTTATCTAAATTTTACTATAATTGTAAACTTGATATTTTTTATATTTTTGTGAGACGTGTATCGTAAGTAACTTATAATGAAAACAAAAATATAGCCATAATTAGTAAATTCAATCAATGAAAATCACACTTTATTATTGTTAGCATAAAATACATGATCTTTTTTTTAAACATTGCCTTTAATAAAAAATTACGGATAAATTGATTGATTGTCAAATTAAATAAATTGATTGATAAACTTTTTTGAATATAAAATTACAAATAAATATATTATTTAAAAAAATGTTTCGTTTATTATTATTAATTTTTTTGAATCTATTGATGATAATAAATTACTTATAAAAGTGCGTCCTCTTTGGCCACTGCAAACGGTTCGGTCACTGGAAGTATTCCGCAATCGGCAATCATTACATCTTTATCGGGTTTGTCGTTATCTTTCGTTTTTGTTGACTCTATTTTTCTGACTAACGGCTGGTAATCGGCAAAAAAAAAGAAATAATACAGTAATTGAAAATTAAAAAACAAACGAAAATAACATGAAATACATACCATTCCTTTGAGAACTTTGCCGAACACAACATGTCGGCCGTCGAGCCACGAAGTCTTCTTACATGTAATGAAAAACTGCGAACCATTAGTATCTTTGCCGGCGTTGGCCATCGACAGCCAACCGGCGCCGTAATGTTTTAGCTTAAAGTTTTCGTCGGCAAACTTTTCGCCATAAATACTTCGGCCACCGGTTCCATCGCCTCTGGTAAAGTCACCGCCTGTTAAGTGATTCATTGAAGACGACAATGAATTGACACAAAATTAATATATAAATAAATCACACAAATCTTAATTCACAACAACAACAACAACACAAACCTTGTATCATAAAGTCGTTGATAACTCTGTGAAATATACTGCCCTTAAATCCGGCTAACTTTCCATCAGTTGATGGCTATATCATTAAAAAAAAAATTTACAGATATCTCTACAATCAAAGACATCACACAATCTATACCTCTGTGTTATGTTTGGTACACAACTCGACAAAATTCTTGACAGTCTTGGGAACCGTTTTGCCGAACAGTCCGATCTCAATACGGCCCACCTCTTCGTCGCCGATCTTGATGTCAAAGTATACCTAAATTTTTAGAAAAAAATATGTAATATTTTTTTAGTCAATGAATAACAAAAAAAAAAGAAATAATGGGATCAATTGTCCGGTGATATTACTAAAACACATACCATATCTGTTACTTTTGGTCCATTGATTTTCAGTTTGGTCTTAACGTCGGTGGCGTCTCCTTCGGCGGCCCCGTGGCTGACAATCACCAGACAGCCAACCAAACAGCTGATCCCCAGATACAACGACAAGTTTTGCATAACTTTTTAAGCAAAAAAAAATAATAATTAATTAATTAAATTAATTAAAAAATTATTTCCAATTATTATTAATAAATATTTTTGTGAATTACTTTTTATTTGTAGTAATGTTTGAAACAATGATTTGATTTTCTAATGCATTGAAAAACTTGTTATAACAACACGTCGATTAACATAAACAATTGTAGAGATGTTTGCCGATAAAACAAACAATACTGTCATAAAAGATAGAGAGAGAGAGAGTGTGTGTGTGTTTGTTAGAGAATCGGATAAATAAAGTGGAATTTATTTTTCGGAACAATCGGCGAACACGTCTACCAACATATCAGTTGTTGACCGGAAATTTTTTCGGTCATTTGTTTTGTTATTATTATTATTATATAATATTAGAGATATTGTTGTCAATAGTGTCGGTGTTATTGTTATTATTGTTGTTGTTGTGGCCGACAGTCGTCTTGTTTGTCGTGTAAACACCAAAGCAATGCATTGGATCTGTTTTTAGGTGATTATTGTTGTTGGACGACAACGACGACAGCGGACAATGAGATATATAACATACATCTTCTCTCGCCATTTACCGTCTGAAGAGGTGATCAAACGATAACATTAATCAAACGTCGCCGACAAGTGTTGGCGTCATTGAAAAAAACTAAAACTCTTGGATCACAACCACACCGGACAATGAGCTCACGATTGGACCGGTTGTTGCTGTTGCTGGAGACCGGTTCGACGGCCGTCACCCGCAAAGCGGCCGCACTCCAGTTGGGCGAAGTCCAGCGACTACATCCACACGAATTGCATAATCTGCTCAACAAAGTGCGACCATATCTCCGAAGTAACTCATGGGAGACCCGTATCGCCGCCAGTCAGGCCGTTGAAGCCATTGTGGCCAATGTGCCGGTTTGGATGCCTGCTGGCAGTCGGCTGACATCATCATCCGGCAGCGAAATCGATTGCCAAATGACTGACGCCTCCTCATCGTCGCAGAGCACGACTACGACGACGACGACGGGCAGCACCGGTAGGATGAGCTTCGAAAAGTATGACATCAATACAGTCATCAAATGTGGACACAATCTGTTGGCCTCAGAAGGAAAAGAGTTCGATGATATCGGTGACAACAACAGCGCCACTACTGCTAACTCGGCGGTGGATTTAAAGGAGAAGATTGCTCTCCAGCGACAAGCGTTGAATCATAAGTTAGGTCTCGATGTCGCCAATCATTTGGGCTTACAATTGGATTTCATTACAAACTCAGATCTAACTGATGATCGAAAACCTAATTCTGAAGTAAATAGTTTACAACAAAATACCAATAAATTAGATGAAATATTGACGAAAGCGACGGGAAGTTCGTTGAAAAGAAAATTAAAGAAAAGACGTCAATCAACGGAACAAAAATCAAGTATCGATGAGAGCAATGGTGGACTAAAAAAGATTAAAACAGAAACTGAAGATTCGGATAGCATTAACTCGAATGATAGTAACACTTTCGACATTACACAGACCAACGAGTGGCCACTCGAATCGTTTGCCGACGAATTATTATCAGATTTGTTCAGTGCCTCGTGGGAAGTCAGACACGGAGCGGCCACTGCGCTGAGGGAAATCATAAAATTACAGGGAAAGTGTGGCGGTCGGACCAACTCTACGCCCAGCCATCTCATGGATCAAATGAATCAGTTATGGCTCGAAGACATATCACTGCGGCTAATATCTGTCCTGGCATTGGACCGATTTGGCGACTTTGTCTCAGACCAAGTGGTAGCGCCCGTACGCGAGACATGTGCTCAGGCATTGGGTTTAGTTCTTAACTTACTAGTATCAGACGGTGTATATAATGTTTTGAAAATTTTACTACAATTATTGAAATCTGAACAATGGGAAGCAAGACATGGAGGAATGCTCGGTCTTAAGTACCTGTTGGCCATTCGACAGGATATGACTTGTCATTTGATTCCCATTGTTTTTCAACCGATTTTCAACGGTCTCAAAGACAGTGTCGATGATGTATCGGCTGTCGCTGCGGCCGCTTTGGTGCCGATCAAAGAGGATTTAATGAAAACACTGCCTGAAAAAGTGCCGATTGTTATCAACTACTTATGGGAAGCACTTCCAGATCTTGACGATCTGAGCTCATCAACTGGCGATTTATTAATGCTATTATCTTCACTATTAGTATTTAATTCCGATACAAATTCAACGCAAAATTTAGTCGAATTAGTTCCCCGTTTGTGGCCATTTCTCAATCATTCGCTAAGTTCTGTACGCAAATCGGTATTGGAATCGCTTCTCATCTTATGTTCGAAAACATCAACTGATTGGTTAACCGTATCGTTACTATCAGACAGTATGAGACTACTATTTCAGAGATGTCTACTCGAGAACAATGAAGATATATTGAAAAACTTATATGAAGTTTGGTTCAAATTTACTACTAAAGCCAGTCTTGAGAATGTAATGCAAGCCAGTTGTCAACATCTGAGCGGTTGGTTCTGTCTGATGATGCATCCGGCGAAGATACCGATCGACGCATCCACATCACAAACATGGTTACAATTAAGAGGACAATCATTGAGTAGTCATCAGAGTCCGGATGATAACCAGAGCTATAGCTACAAATCAAGACATAACAAACCCTATGATAATCATAACGGCAGAGAACAGTATTTTATTGGTGGCACCGAATTGTTGGCCGACAATCCCGAAGATAGAGAACGCTTTGTTATACGTGCCAGACATCAGGCGGCAAAGTTTATCGGTTTGTTAGCCTATTTTGTTACCAAACCGCTCTATGATACCCAACCGTCGGCAATGGATTCATTCGCCAACATATTATTATTTCATTTGAGTTCAAAGTCAGCGATGCAGAGGATGTGCATCGCTTGGGTGATCAAAGAATGGGCCAAAGCTTTCAACAATGTATTGGACGTTACTATCGACGACAACAACGATAATACTAAAAACAATTGTTGGCCACAATCGGTGACCGATAAGTGTTTGGATTGTCTCCAAGAAATTGTTTATTTCGATGAAATCTCATCCCATTTTACACGACTGCAACTCGAATCAAGAGATTTTGTAAATCTTGTTAAGAAAAATAAGTTTACCATAAATGAAGAAATCTATAAACCGGGAGCTGTCTATACATTTGAACAGATAAACTCTTTGGCCAATTCTGTGATCCAAAGTCCACAATTGAAGTCGAAATCAAAACAAACAGAAGTAATTGAGGAACGATGTCGTGGATTATTAAAGACGACGTCACAGATATCCAAATATCAGACATCATTGTCCACATGTGTATTATCATCGTTAGCCGGTTCGCTCATATCATGGAAACAATTGCCATCAAAACTGAATCCAGTGGTCAGACCATTGATGGATTCGTTGAAAATTGAAGAGAACGAACAACTTCAGTGTGAATCAGCTCATAGTTTAGTCGGTCTGTTGAGTCTGTGCTGCGACCGAAGCACACAAACCACAACAAATGATAGCACTGTATCACCAGTTCCTAAAATAATTAAGAATCTGATAACCTATTTATGTTGCGATCGAAACTTTACGCCCGAAGTGAAACCTTTGGACTCGACGACAACAACACAAAAACAATCGGGAATTATATGTTTAGATAATATGCAAAAGTTTGCCGAACGTCAGTCATTTAGACGATCTAACTCTTTGAATGCCAACAAAAAGTCGAAATCAATTGACACATCGGCGACGACGACTTCAATTGACGAAACTGGTGGTTCTTCACCCATCAGTTGTGACCAACAGCTTAATGATAAACAAAACGAAGTGTTAAGACGTGGCGCCAGTCTTGCGCTATCGGAAACTGCCAAACACTTCGGCGCCGACATACCAACCAAATTGCCTAATCTTTGGGAACAAATCACACAAATTGTCGATTACTCTGAAAAGTCCAAAAATGATGGCTTAAGTCTAGATGAAGCCAAAAGTCTTTTACAATGTCTACAAGTATTGGAAATAATTGGTCCTCATTTGCATCAAGAATTACATTCATATCTCAAATCATTGTTGAATTCATTGTGTTTATGTCTGGAAAGTCCATTGATAGCTATCAGACATTTGGCCTCCCGTTGTTTCGGTATGTTTAGTCATGTGATAAAAGCCGATACGATGGACGTTGTCTTGTCGACCATTTTGGAACTATTAGAACTGTCCGAATCTGATACCAACAGACAGGGAGCTTTAGAAGCTATTCATTGTGTTACCGATAGTCTCGGCTTTAGTATAGTACCATATATTGTCTTATTAATTGTACCGATGTTGGGCCGTATGAGCGATCACAACGACAGTGTCCGACTACTCGCCACTCATTGTTTTGCCCAATTAGTTCAACTGATGCCACTGGACAACGATAACAACAACAAGTCCAGTGCCAACAACACCAACAATACTGTGATCAAGAAAGAGTTAATGGAAAAGAAGCAAAAGGAACGACGCTTTTTGGAACAGCTAATGAATATTAAGAAATTAGATGATTACAAACTGCCGGTACCGGTGAAGGCCGAACTCAGACAGTATCAACAGGATGGTGTCAATTGGCTGGGATTTCTTAATAAATACAAACTACACGGCATAGTAGCAGACGAAATGGGTTTGGGAAAGACATTGCAGGCCATCTGTATTCTGGCATCGGATCACCATTATTTGTCCATCAAAGTGGAGAACTCGTCTATTGAATGCAAACAAATGGCATCGATAGTGATATGTCCGCCAACATTGACCGGCCATTGGCTCTACGAGATCGACAAGTTTGTCAGTACTCAATATTTACGTCCACTTCATTATACGGGTCCACCAAATGAACGAACGAAACTGCGGAAGAAAATCAAACGAAACGATAATAAAGTTGTCTATAATATAGTGATCGCGTCCTACGATATCGTTCGCAATGATATTGAATTTTTTTCGACAATTCACTGGAACTACTGTGTCTTAGATGAAGGCCATGTCATCAAAAATGGCAAAACAAAACTGTCGAAAGCGATTAAATCGTTGTTTGCCAATCATCGGCTAATTTTGACGGGAACGCCAATCCAGAACAATGTACTGGAATTGTGGTCACTGTTCGACTTTTTGATGCCCGGCTTTCTCGGTACTGAACGCCAATTTATGGCCCGATATTCTCGTCCAATACTCCAAAGTCGTGACGCCAAGTCTTCATCGAAAGAACAAGAGGCCGGCGTACTAGCCATGGAATCTCTTCATCGACAAGTTTTGCCATTCATATTGCGACGAATGAAAGAAGACGTACTGAAAGACTTGCCGCCGAAGATAATGCAAGACTACTATTGCGAGTTGAGTTCGTTGCAGTCAAAACTGTACGAAGATTTTGCCAAAAGCAAAGCCCGTCAGAGTCTACAGGATTCGGTTGCCACCGATAATACTACTACCGATAAGAGTAACACTTCCGCCACCGACAAGACCAACATTGCTTCGGCACACATATTCCAAGCGTTGCAATACTTGCGTAAAGTTTGCAATCATCCGAAACTGGTGCTCAGTCCCACTCATCCGCAATACGAAACCATTACATCACAGCTGAAACAGGAGAAGAGTTCGCTGTCCGATATCACTCATGCGGCAAAACTGTGCGCTTTAAGACAACTGCTACTCGACTGCGGTATTGGTACACAACAAAGCAACCAAATTAACGCTACGGAACCAGTGGTTAATCAACACAGAGCTTTAGTATTCTGTCAGCTCAAGAGTATGTTAGATATTGTCGAAAATGATTTATTGAGAGCACATATGCCATCCGTTACATACTTGCGTCTCGACGGAAACATTCCTCCCATTCAAAGACATTCAGTTGTTCATCGATTCAATAACGATCCGTCTATTGATATACTATTGCTTACCACTCAGGTATGTGAACAACTCAGACACACAAAAATAATTTTATTTTTCAAATATTACTTTTTTTATCAATTTGTATCAATAGGTGGGTGGTTTGGGTCTGAATCTTACAGGTGCCGATACTGTCATATTTGTTGAACACGACTGGAATCCGATGAAAGACTTGCAGGCCATGGACAGAGCGCACAGAATTGGTCAGAAAAAAGTGGTTAATGTTTATCGGTATGTTTTCGTTAAGATTATTAGTATTATTATTACTGATTATAAAATTTATTTAACTAAAAAATGAATTTTATTTTCTTATTTCCAATCTATTAGATTGATAACTACCGGTACTCTTGAAGAAAAAATAATGGGTTTACAAAAGTTTAAGCTGACAATAGCCAACACTGTTATCAGCAGTGATAATAGCAATTTGCAGACAATGGCGACCGACCAACTGTTGGATCTGTTTAGTTTTGGTCATAACAGCAGAAGTGGTGATACAGCGAACAAAGGGATCACTGGCGGTGGCGGTTCCGGAAGCGGTGGCTCCGGTATGAAGAATGTTCTCGAAAATTTGCCCGAACTCTGGGACTCTCAACAGTACGACAATGAATACGATTTGACTCAATTCATTCAGTCATTAAAGTCTTAATTATTATTATTATGTATTTATTTATATACAGTATATTTAAATTATTTAAATATATATTTATAATTAGCTTTCATTATCATTTTTTTATTAATATTAAATTGTTATTTTCTAATTTAATTTAATTATTTGTATAAAGATTATGTATTGTATTTTGTTTGTGTTTTTTATGTTTAGGTGTTTTTCCAATTGATTAAATTTATATAAATTATTACCTTTAAATAATAAAACAAAAATAATTATTCATATTATTAATTCATTGACTTAATTGATATTCTTTATATAAAAAAAATATTTTTCCAAAAAATTGTTTATTTGTACGAATTTATTATTAATATTTGTTATAGAAATAAATATTTTTAAAAACTGCTTAAATCTTTGTTGAGTAATATATAATTAAATTATTTTATTTTTTTGAAATTAAATTATTTATATTATATAATGACTTATTATAACTGTTTATTAGTAATACTAAATTGATGAAATATTTTTATGAATTTAACAACTATTTGAATTACAGTTAATTTATATAAATATATAAATTTATATATTATTTAAGCCAAACATATAACAAATTTTTTGTTGTTGTTGAATGCAAATGTTAAGCAATTTTTAAATTCAATACTTCTATATTGAAACTAATAATATTTCTATTTATAACTAATTAAATTCTACACTACACTCGGAAATGTATTATATGTAGAAAATAGAGAGAAATTTCCAAATAGATAAATTCCCATGGGAAAATTTTTAATAGACAAAAAAAATTTATCTGTATTTTTTAACATTATGTTATTTTTATATACAGGTAAAAATTTATAATGATCCCAATGTACTGTATTGTATAAATTGATATAATTAATTGATTTATTTTTAAAGTTAATTTTTATTAGATAAACTTTTTTTTAAAATCAATATTTTTATACAATCAAACAATTGGAAATTAAATAATTTTGTTTATCTCACTCATGTTTGATACTTTGTTAACATTAATTTTTATTATTAACTAAATTTGTTATATTAGGATATAATTTTTAATTACAAATGTTGTTAATAAAAATAAAGTTATGATTTGATACTTAATGTAAATTTAATTGTTTAGTCATATTTTAAGTAAACTCTCTCTCTCTCTCTCTCTCTCTCTCTCTCTCTCTCTTTCTTTCTTTCTTTCTCTTAATTTTTTTCTCTTATTTTTTTCTCTTAATGTTATTTTATGACAGTATTTCTCAATGTGAATATTTTCCAGAAATTTCCATATTTTTTCTAAGAAACTTTACAACTATTTTTGTTGACTAAACTTTAGTTTTAATTCAATTATACTACAGTATATTATTGTGAATATTTTGATCTCTAATAATTATACACAGTTATTATAATTTATGATTATATAATATAATAGTTATATCTGTAGGTAATGTTTATTATAATTTTTTTTAGTTTACTTTAAAATTTTGCATCTATTTTGCGTTTATATATTAAAATTGTTGTTAAATTGTAACTATATTTTAAAATAATACTATAATGTTTTATTTGTGTTACTTATACTATAATATATAAATAAAAGTTTTATTTTCCATGATAAATTACGATAAAATACTTATCAATAAAAAAAATTAAAATAATTATAAACAAATGATATAATTTATATACAGTATAAACACAATTAGAGTAATGGAAAAATAGATTTATTATTTATTATTATTTTATGGGATACCCGTATCTATAGCTATTGTAATACTATATTACAGTATACAAATGGGATACAATATATACAGTACAAAATAATTATAATTATAGTTTTGTAAAATCTATATTTTTAATTTAATAAAATTTAATTTTTCAGTAATAATCTATACAATTCAATCTCATAGACACTATACACAAAATACATTGATTTTTGTTTTGTTTTTTTCTAGCAAACATATGTTTTTAAAAATAAAAAATATATATAAATAATTAAATAAAAAAACAATTTATAAATATTTAACAGTTATGTTTGTTACATTTCATATAATAATAATAATATAGATAATTAAGCTAGGTTGCTGTATTAATTTTTCACAATTCAATTGTAAGCAATTCAATACAACTTTTACTATATAATGTTAGTATTGTAAGATTTTGAATGTCTATCGTAATCATTTATTATAGTTGATTTAAATATGTTTTATCCAAAAAAAAATTTATACCGAAAAACATACATATAGTCTACAAGACTGTGATGATCATCATCAGAGATGACTAGACCACCATTAAAGACCAAACATTGCTTTCACTCATATATATATACTATTGAAATATATATCATATTTTTCAAAACGCTGACAAATACTTGTGTAAAAAGTTTTGTAATCACCGGAAACTATACACATATGAGTAGTCATACTCTCATCCAACATATCTCACTCACTCACCCACTCAAACATACACACATTCATACAATAATTTTACTAACAATTTTAAGTAACAAACAATATAGATCTAGAATTTTTTGTTGTTGAAAATTTTTGTTAAATTTTATATATTTAATTTTAATAGACAATATTTAATACAATATAAATATTAACTGTATTTTATTATAACAACAATAATATGAGTTTTTTATATAATTAATATTCATAGATAATAATATTAGTTTATATACAAAATTATTTTTATTTAATTATTAATTGTACTGTACTTTATATGCCGTATATATTACGAATCAAATTATAATTTTATTATTTTAAAAATTATTATTAGATAAACACTTTTTTTTACTGAAAATCAATATTTAAAAAATCAATGTTTCAAAATTGATAAGAAACACATATATAATATTAATGTTTATAAAAATTAATTCAAAAATTAAATTATTTAATTAATAATTTTTGTAATGTTTATAATTTTTTTTAATTATCATTATAATTATCATTGTAAATTAATGCCATTTTTATATACAATATCTATGGAAATATATAATTATTGTATATTTGAAAATAATATTTTTATGAATAAAAACTCCGGGATATATATTAATAGTATATACAGTATTATATTTGTTTCAATTTGTTTTACTTATTATTTATTTTTACTGTATAATAATTATGTCAAATGATAAATAATAAAAATGATGATGATGATGTAAATAATGTAAATAAATTTAATCTACATTATTAACCTCTAATAATATTTATATTAGCATTTTCTAAAATAAGTTAGTAATATATATTTTTAAAAAATTAAATGAAAACAACAATTTATAAACTAATCAATAATAATAATATATTTTCATTTCTACAATTGTTTTGTATATATATGTAAAATGTAAATATAGAAACTTAAACTAAATAATAATAATAACGGTTATAATAATTAAACAAAAATATTTACTTTAGGATATGTTTAATGGATAAAAATATAGAATATGTTTATATAAAATTAATTTCAATTTTGATTATATTGTGTGATAATTATAATTTTTATATAGTATTTAATCATATTCAATTATAATTATCATATCAATAGCACAAAAAAGTAATACACAATCACACAAAAATAAATAACTGCATATTTCTATATATATATATAAATACCGTACATATATAATATATTTATAAATATTAGGTTAGAAACTTCGGTTAGGGATATCTGACAGGATATATATATAAATAATAATATAATATAAATTTATATTATATATATATATATATATATATATATATAACATATTATATATATAATAATAATAAAATTTATTCCTGTTTTACATCTATAATATAAAAAGCCGAAACTTGTAAGCGATTATAAGTATGTAATTATTGTACTTAAATTATATATATAAATATATTTAACATACAGTGTATATTATATATAAATAGCTATATAAGCAGCATATATACAATATATAGGCTCAAACAATGATACTATTGTACACTTTTATACAGTGAACAGTATTATTATTATTATTTAAGATGTTTTATGAATTTTCTTCTCTCTCTCTCTCTCTCTCTCTCTCTCTCTCTCTCTCTCTCTCCCAATAATAAATGAAAATCTTTCTGTTAAATTGTTTTCAAATTTTTCATATTATATTATATATTATGTATAATATAATAATAATGAATAAAAACGATGTGATGAATGATATAAGTGTTAATTTAATTGGTAGACACAATAACTGGTATTATATATGTGCATAATAAACCATTTATCAGATATTTAGTGTAGAAATTAATTCAGGTATCGGATCACAACTATAGATAATAATAAAAAAAATTATAAGTATTTCTTTTTCGGTGCTATTTTACTACTGTTTTTGTGTTGTTGACGGTATTTACAACACAAGTACTCTATAGTATACAAGAATATCTTTATATTCTTGAATTACATGTAAATAACTTCTAAACTAATAGTTTAAGTTAAAAAAAAGTTAATACGGCCGACAATTATTGTTCAAATGTATTGTTAAAACCTATATTTTTTACTTTATATTAATAATAATAATAATACTAATCTACTATATGTTTGTTGCAATACAATGTTTTTTATAGTTAAAAAAAATCTTATAAATTAAATATATACTGTTTCTAAATAATCTAAATCTAACCAATTTTTTACACCAATAAATACTGTAGTAATTGAACAAAAAAATGCTTATTTTATTTTGAAAAAAATTGTAATCTCTCTAATAATTTATTTTCATAGCATATATAAATAAAACATTTACAAAAAAATGAAAATTACACAAATAATTAAGTTTATTTTTTTTATTATGATATTACATAAATAATAAATTAACAATCTTATGAACACATTACATACAGAGGATATTATCATTATTTTTATGATAGAAAAAAACTGTTTTTTTGTTTGTGTTTTGTTTGTCTGTTATGAAAAAAACAAAATAATAGTATTTTAATTATGAAAATATTAGTTTTTAAATATTAATATTAATAATAATAATAATAATAGTATACTACTATATTTTATATACATTGATAATTTATACGATTTAGTTTACTAGCCAGTTAAAAAAAAGTTTCAGTGTACATGCAATTTAACACATAAATCCCAATTATATCATACAGTATACTATAATGCTTGAGATTTTTAATATACTGTAATAATATTAAAAACTTATCTCAATATTGAATTGATTTAATTATTTACTGTTTCATCCATTTGGTTATAGGTTTGGGATTAGATTTTGAATAGTTTTGGGGTATATATGGGGAGATATACAGTATGTTTGTTAAGATTTTCTGCTTATTTATAATAAATTTTTGCCGAATATGCAGTTATAAGTAAAAGATATTCATTTGTATTTCATTTATATTATAATTGGGATTTGTATGCTATATAAATAATTTAAGTATAAATATATTTATAACAATTTTGTTTGTATATAAATTAGATATATATATATATATATAAATTACCTATAAAAATTAATTATTCATCTAATTTGTTTAAATTATCTAATTTTATCTTTTTCCCCATTTTAAATACACTCAATTGAAAATATTTCAAACATATAATATTATTATCAGTTAAATAATTGACTTAATAGAGAGATACAAAAAATTATATTATATAAACAGTACTTTAGGATTGTTTGTCGTAAAGTTTTTTTTAAAGAGTGAAATAAACACAATTATCTTAAATGTCTATAATTATGATGTGTTAAACCTATTGAAATGGACACACAATTGTATGTATAGACAAATTGTATTTACGATATACGGTAATAATATATTATTAACCAATTTGTATTATTATTAACAGCATATACTGTATATATATAATATAAGCAATTATACAGATAAAAACATAATATATAATTTTGATTGTTTTATAAATGATTATTTTATCAGACAAACAACAACAACAATAATAATAATGATATATAGGCAACAAATTAAAATAATGTAAAAACTGGGCACATGTCTTAAAATACCGACAGTTTACTGGCTAACTGTTTCAACCGTACACTGAATTATCGCAATTAACCACTGATGACAATGTTATATAAATGAATTAAAATAAATATAATTATTAGGCATTTTAAACAAAAATTGTAATCACATTTTTTTGTCTATAATTGTTAAAAGCAATTTTAGCAAAAATTATCTGACAAAATTTTGTCATATTTTATTATAAAAAACAAATATAATGTTATACAATATGTCTGATGATCTTAAATTCAATGTACGGTAAAATCAGATTAATAGCATAGCTTAGCTGTGATACTGTGTTTAAGACTATGCCCTAAAAAATTTAATAAATTGTATATAAAAAAAATCTATTCCTAATGATATATAATAATAATAATATGCCGAAGAAAAAAATTATACAAAATGATAAAATACAGTATAAATATTTCCAAATATAATATTATAATTATTACATATAATTATATATATATATATACACAGTATACACGAGTTATCAAAAAACGCTTACCAATGGTGTGTCATATTAGGCATACGGTCGGCGGCACTGTTGGGCATACAGTTTTGGCCTACAAATTCATTTTGCAGACTAGTCCAAACCCGATCGGCAGTACTGTTGGTCAAACTGGGTCTACACACAGTGGCAGATGTTTCGGTGGGAATCGATGGCGGCCACACCCGGTCGGTGGCGGTACTTAACGATGATCGACAGTGTTGTGCGGCGGCAGCGGCCGAGTCGATCTGCAGCGATGGCCAGCCAACTCTGTCGGCTGATGTCATGAGCGTGGATCGGCAGTGTTGGCCCGACGATTCCAGCGACAGTCCAGGCCATACGCGATCAGTCGAATTGGATAAAGATGACCGACAGTGTTGGGCCGAATCGATTTGCAGCGTAGACCACACTCGGTCGGCCGGATTGGTCAGTCCAGGTGGTCGACAATGTTGGCCCGAATCGATCTGCAACGATGGCCACACTCTGTCCGATGCGTTTGGATGACCTGTTCGACAGTGTTGATCGGATTCCGTTTGCAACTGAGTCCAGACTCGATCGCCGGCACTTGTATGACTCGGCCGGTAGTGTTGACTCGTATCAGTGGTGTGTAGTTGAGGCCACACTCTGTCAGTATTTCGACAGTGTTGACCGGTTTCGGCGGACAGTGAAGGCCAGACACGGTCTGGATTACTGACAATCGTTGACGATCTGTGATGAGACATGTTTTCGGTCGGATGTGACGACCAAATCCTATCGGCCACCGATGTATTGCTAGGACTGGATCGACACTGTTGTTGTTGAGCTGTTATTATTGGCGTCTCATTTGTATTACTAGTTTCCGATGTTCGGCCACTAACCGAATGATCACTTTCGGTGCTCAGTTGTGCCGAATAACTGCTGGTCGGTGTGGACGACATCGGCGCTGCCGAAGATGACGAATGAGTCGATGACGACATTTGTTTCATTGGTTTTCTTCTTCGCGGTTGATATTTGTATTCAGGAAAGTCTTTCTTATGTTTGCAGCGAAGTCTTTCCGCTTCAATAATGAATGGTTTCTTTTCGTCGTCTCCGAGGACTCTACTGAAACAATAATAAAATCACATAAAAAACAAAACACTTAATAACAATAACCGCAGGCAATGGATGCCATAAAAGTAGTAGTAGTTAAGTGTGTCCGACAAACCTCCATAACTTTCCCAATGTTTTACTGAGTTCGGCATTGTGTAGATGCGGGTACTGTTCGGCCAGTTTCCGACGGGCTGCCTGTGCCCACACCATAAATGCATTCATTGGCCGCTTGACATGTGTCTTGTGTTTGGCCGTCGGTGTCTGTTTGCTGGTTCGGGTCACTAGCGACCAGTCGTAGCTTTGTAGCACTTTGAGTACGGCGTCCTGAATGGCCGGATTCGACTCAAATATTTCCACTGGCGATGCATTGGCGCCCTTATTGACCGAACCGCTGGCCACTGCCAACTGTATCGATATAGTGTTGCGCGACGCGTGGCTAGCGGTCTGAGTAACCGAAGCCAGATCAGTGTTGTTGTTGTTGACGGAACCGGCGGTCAAAATGTTGACACCAAAGTCGGAACTTCCTCGTGATTCACTTGAAGAGTTCATTTGAAAGTTTTTTTTCTTAACAAAAACAACACTTATTTATAATATATATAAATATCATATATATGTATAAATTATATATATATTTAGGCAATAAATTAGCGAAAAAAATTTATTGCAGATATGGTTGCGTGTAATCAACTTTTCATTTCTACAATTCACTGATAGTTAGCTTAATATTATTATTATTATTATCACACTTTAGTTATTAAACAGTGTTTAGAAATTTATTTAAAAAAAAAACTTATTTCCAAAGTAATAACAAATTGTTTATAACTTTTTTTCTGTGGTATTGCTCTATCACTAACTGATAGAGACAAATATGTATACATATATATAATGTATATATATTAATACTGTATATATACAGTATATTAATATATATATATATATACCGTATATGTATACTGTATATCACACTGTAGTCTAACCAACGATGAATATCCAGAATCGCTTCGCATATATATATTGAATATATTATTGCTTCACAACATTTACAGTTCAAGTATCGTAAGTACAGTATTTTCTAGCCCAGAGAGCACAGCCTCAGCCGGCGCGCTCAGGGAGTACATAATCAGTGACAGCCAATGCCTGTAAGAAACACATACACACACACACACACACACATCATAGTACAGCTACAGCATAGGCACTGGCAGTTTGGCACAGCTTCTGGCTTTTTCACTCCAATTTTTCTGGCAGCTCTTCATCGCTAAAAAGTTTCATATGAAAAATGCCATTACGTATACTGTATATAGATTTATATATATATATATATATATATATATTAGTTTGAAAAAGACAGACAAAATATTGTGTGTTTATTATTATTTATAATAAAAACCATAATATCTTATATAGTATTTAACAACCAAACAAAACACATACAAAAAAAAATCACATTTCATTTCTTTAACACTTTTACTTTTTTCTCTCTCTTTCTCTATGCATAAAGTTTTGCCCAAATATTTTTGACTATGACTTTAAAATTAAAAAAAAAAACTATGATTTTTGTTGTTGTTGTGTTGATTACTTCACGACTAAATCCCATTCCCCCAAACATTTTTGAGTGAGTGAGTGAGCTATTTGTATGTATGAATGTATTAAAAACGATTAGTTAGTAAATACTAGTGTGTAGTTTAAAGTATTAAACCGAAACATTATTTTACACAACAAAACTTATTGGATGTTTTTAAGTGAAAGAGAGGTTTGGGAGTTAAAGATATAGATATAGGTTCTGAAAAACATTATGTTGTGGTTATGTTATGTCGTGTTTTGACATTAATTTATTAGTTCTATAGTATATATACGGTATATAAATAATATGTATGTGCAGTATGTGTCACATCGGAAAAAATGGATGATATGGTTGTGCTGAATGGCATACACTGTGTCTTCATAACCATTAGTAAAGGTTCAGCAAAAACACGGCATATAATGAGAGTACAACGCTATGTGTGTGAGTGAGTGACTGAGAGAGAGAGAGAGAGAGAGAGAGAGAGAGAGAGAGAGAGAGAGAGAGAGAGAGAGAGAGAGAGAGAGAGATACCTAAAAATAAGATTTTCTGGTGAATCAATGGTAACATTTATTCGGCACTTTTTTCGGAAGTCACTAGATCTCTCTCTCTCTCTCTCTCTCTCTCTCTCTCTCACACACACACACACACACACTCACTCACTCACTCACTCACTCACTCACTCACTCACTCACTCACTCACTCACTCACTCACTCACTCACTCACTCTTCATATATACAGTATATATATAAAATATCTACAGTATATAAAACACTGGCTAAAAAAAGCAATGGACAGGACCTTCAAGCATATGTGGCATCCAATGCATCCAAGAGAGCATAACTGTGTTATGAGCAGTAATATGATTACTGTGAAGGCGTAGAGGGAGTCGACCGTCGGCTATGGCGGTGACGGTGTCGGCGGTGTCGGCATCCCTTACAATGCAATTCGTCCGTTATGTCTGTGGCCTTTACCAATACGACTGACCCATGCGACATATTTATATACAATTTTTTTTCTCTATTATTATTATATTATTAAGATATTTTGTTACCATTTAGAGATTGTAATTTACCGACAATCACATAAACTATTGCTTATAGTTATTATTATTATTATTATTATTACTACTGTATTATTATTGTATAACTATTTAATATAATTTATGTAATACTAGTAGTCATTGTAAATATTATAAATTATATATTAATAATAATGAATAGATGTTTTTTATTTTAGTGCATAGATTATACCAAAAAAAACTATATATATATATATATATATATATACAAAAAATAAGTGTTGAATTACTTATGACAAGATAACTAGTTTTTTTCAATTTATACAATAAAAATGTTTATTATAACTCGCCAACAAAATTGCGTAAATAATTTGCCAGTTTTTTTTCGGTGCATTCATATTTATATTTCATAGTTTACACCACAAAAAATAAAATATAAAAATAACATTCAATACTTTAATCAAACATTTTTTCACACCTACTTTGAAAAATCCCAAAATCTCTACTAATAGTGTGGTATTATCTCTCTTTTTTTTTAAAAAAAAGTATATATATTTTTGTGGTAACAATAAGTATCATAACAAGTACTCCTCTTTCTTTGATCTCTCTCTCTCTCTCTCTTTGATCTCTCCCTTTGTGTTAGTCGTCGATGTGATAACATATCAAATAACTCGACGAAAAAATTTTTTAGCTCACAAAAAATCTTAAACTTGATGTATATATATATATATATTTATAAACTTCATGGGAATGTTGTCTACGATGATACTATACGGATATGTATGTATGTATGTATGTATGTATGTGTGTGTGAGTGTAGAAGCGATCGAAAAAAATGTAAGTCTAATAAAAAAAATTAAGGGAAATCTCTCTCTCTCTCTCTCTCTCTCTCTCTCTCTCTCTCTCTCTCTCTCTCTCTCTCTAATTTGGCCGCTAACCATTACCATATCATCTTATTTAAATTATAACTCATGGAAAGTGGAAAATTATAATGTATGATATGATATGATATTCCCCCTCAAAACTGGCAATATTTGGACAATTGATTTTCCAAGTTATTGTTGTGTTAGATAATATGTGTGTACAGTATATATCAATTTTTGAAAATACTAGAGGGGCGGCCGCTTGGTTAATCATAGAATTATAAAATGTGCGGCCAATTTATGAGGGGTGGGGGTAGACATCACATAATAGGACAGTGCCATTCAGGGCACACCGGAGCGTGTCTTTGTTTTGATTATAGTATTTGTATCCAACAATCTATTATATATATATTGAGGTTATGTCTATTGAGGAGGTGATGATATGGTATAGATAGTACACACACATAGCCTTATAGATAAACCCCAAAATTAGACCCGTGTTTCACGTTTTACAATAACCAATGTTTTCACAACTAAAGAGCCTATTTTTCTCTCTCACTATCGACATAACAATTTCGGCTTAAAATAAAATTATATATAATATTATATTTTACAAGATATATGATTAGTTTGTAGTGATATTACTTTATTCACACCTACACACACACACACACACACACATACAGACTCCCGGTAGTAGTGGTGGTGTGATTGCTGAACGATCTGAACCTTCAATAATAATAATAAAGAAACCGATTTTCTCTGTAGTTTTCATCCGTTTAATCTTATAAATCAATGGCAACTATAATATTGAAGTCAATTGAATATCAAAACAATTTTTCGGAGCATTAGATTTATCTATTGATATCATCTCTCTCTCTCTCTCTCTCTCTCTCTCTCTCTCTCTGTCTGTCTGTCTGTCTGTCTTTCTTTCTCTGCGTTAGATTTGCCGCAAAAACCAGACACTCATTGCAAACGGAAATTATATGACTTTTACGATATTTTTGTTTAATTATATATACAAATGATTATCACAACTACTAGTTTATAACTATGAATTGAAATTAAATGTAATGTCAGAGAGAGAGAGAGAGAGAAAGAGAGAGAGAGAGAGAGAGAGAGAGAGAGAGAGAGAGAGAGAGAGAGAGAGAGAGAGAGAGAGAGAGAGAGAGAGAGAGAGAGAGAGAGAAAGTTGATTATATTATTGGGCCATTAATAGTAAATTTTTAATTTAGATTTTCTAATTCTAATGAATCAATCATATGTACGGTACAATGAAATTTATTAAAATTAATTACAAAAATGTTTATTTTGCAAATATTTTTTTTATTAAGAAATATATTTAAAGTAAAAAAATTTTACTCCAAAAAAATATGATATGACATAAAATATTTGCAATAAATATATTTGCAATTTCTCTCTCTCTTTCTCTTTTTTCTCCCCCATAATATAGGATTGGCTTCCAATGCAAGTCCAATGAGGAGAAGCAATACGATATATAAGTAATATAAGCCCCACACTTAGGGAAGTGCCCCAAACAATATGTTAGAAGGCTATAATGTAAAATAGTGGTGCGCACAGTCCATACCCGATAAAAAAAGATGATATTTCTGTACTAATGGTAATGGTATGGAAGGCATTGAATTTTGTTGTTATGATATGATTTGATGTTTTGAGCGCTCATTTAGTTTTTTTTTTGAGGATAAATATCGCCTTAAAAAATCTCTGGTCAGACACACAAACACAAACACACACACAATATGTCCAAAACAGAAGTGAAGACAGAAAACAATCATATCATTCATAAAGACGACAAATCTGTGAATAATAATAATAATACTAATAATAGTAATAATAATATTATTAATGATAAGCTATCCATTTGTGATGCCGTCTCTCGAGTGCTTAAGGGATACGACTGGACACTAGTGACCACCACTACAAAGCCGAGCTCAGCCAGCAAACAGAAAATTCATGTAAAACGGCCGATGAATGCATTTATGGTTTGGGCTCAGGCAGCCCGGCGGAGACTGGCCGACCAGCACCCGCACCTACACAATGCCGAACTAAGCAAAACACTGGGACAGCTATGGAGGTATGTGTCTGTCTGTCTGTGTTTGTGTGGTTTTTTGACACCGATATGTTTACTATGTTTTTTAAATATATATATTTATAATATATGAAAAGTGCCGACCGATCAATATAATCAATAATACTGTATATATCCTATTGATAGCCTATTTCTTTGATGAAACGCTTTTCACTTATCAATACTTTTTATGTGACACTTAAGAAGTTATGATACACACAGTATTTCTGATATATTTTTATTTTTAAATGCTATCTATCTATCAATTAATTTATTAATTGATTGATTGGTTGATTGATTTGGGTTTTTTATTTTAATAAATATTGTATTAATTTTTTAAAAAAATACATCAAAACTTAGTTCAAAGTCAATTATATTATTATTATAATTATTACAATATTATTAAATTGCTTACTATATATATTGTATTTTATATTGTTTAGTATATTTATTTAAATATTATTTATATTTAATATACAGTATAAGTTGCAGTATATTCTATATTCTGTATATTTGTGTTTAAGTAATTAATTTGTATGTTTAAGTATAATGAAAGTGTTAACAGATGACCAAAAATAAATAAAACATATTATTTAGTAAATTATCTGCAAAATTGTGACTTTTTTTGTTGTCTCAATGAATTATCGATAGAGAAAATAGTGATACTCAAGAATGATGGGTCTCTCAGTGGATACAAATTGATTTATTAGTATTTTTTTTCTTTTAAAACTAGAAAACCAATTTGTTTGCTAAAATGTTTACAAACTAAAAGTTAATATTATTATTATTACTATTGCTATTATCAATATCAATTGGATGGTATGTATACATATATCTGTCGGTATCCCCTGTTTGATGTGACCGACACTTATGTTAAGTTATTTACTGTAAAAATGAGAAGAACTGGGAAGTGAGCGCTTCACGGGCTATAACATCCTATAGTACGGTCCACTTCATAGCTATTAGGTTGGGGTCATTACAGACGTCCTCTTTGGTCTGTGTCTCGTGAAATTAACTCACAGTTTCCCTAATATACTGAACATATATATACATACCGTATGTAACATATATTGTATATACAGTATATAGATATAGTGTAACTGCAAAAATGCAAATATCTTAAATCTTATACAGAAATTTTTATTTTTGCAAAATTTGTAGAAAATATACTACAAGTTCATCAAATTTCTACCAGTGTATTTATAAATAAACTTAAATAATAATAATAGTAATAATAATAATAATTAAGATAATGTAAATTGTGTGTGTGTTTGTGTGTGGTGTTAATTTGAATTGAAAATATTTTGCTATAATGCTAAATATTATCATACAGTATAATGTACTACATATACAGTACATATTATTAATATATATATATATATATTAAATATTTATTTTATTAGATTTTTCAGCATTTATTTTAGCGAAAATAGTTGGTTCTCTTTGTATTTATTTTTATAAAACTTTATTCAAAATATTTATTTCGTTGATTAATGTTTTGTTATTTTGATTTTAACCGCAAGTTTTCTCGCTTGTATGCACTCTATCAGCAAAACATTGTACAGATAGTCATTCATTAGTTTATATATTATATAATAATTTTTGACGGAAAAAACAAATTTTTAGTATCAAAAATATTGTGTCATTGATTTACACATTTAGTATTAAATACATAAAATATTAATAATATTTATATTAATAAAAAAATGTGACTTTTTATAAATATATTTTTTGTTTTGTTTATTATTTTCAAAATAGTTTTATAAAATCATTATGAATGAGAAAAATTACATCAAACGATGACAATGTTTTGTTTGAATATAAGGTTAACTATATATAATATCTAAGATTCAGCACATAATCCCAGTGCTAATCAGTCCGAGCCGTAAATCAGTTTATCTGAGAGAAAAAAAAACTAAACCCATAATAATCAACACTAGACTAACTAATAGTTTACTTATTTTATTGTAGTTAAAAATATTTACTAAAATTTTTTTTATATATAAATATATTTATCGACAAATTGTTGTCAATATTGTCAAATTTATATTAAAAAAATACTATTAAAAAAATTTATAACAAAAAAATATAAATAAATAGTTATAATAAATGTTCCGTAAAATCATTTACAAATACAAATACTTATATATAAAAAATAATACTAAATATAAATTTTTATTTATAACTAAATTAAATATATATATATATATATATATATATCACATGTTGCATCTAAAATTAGAATATAAACTATATTGTCAATGACTTTAAAGTTTAAAAAAATTAATTTTTAATAATTTAGTATTTGCAATTAATATTGCACAATTAGATTCACTATTGCATTATTTGATGATTTATTTATTGTATATAATTAATTTACATTAAAAATAGCAATTATTATTATTTATAATTTCTTTCTCTCTCTCTCTCTCTCTCTCTCTCTTTCTCTCAGAAAAAATATAATTTATAATTTTTTTAAAGTAAAAATTGTTGACAATTTTCATAGATATCACATAAATGTTATTTTTATTGGTTTATATCAACAATAATTTATCAGGTTTTGCATCATTTTATATAACTATTAGCACAAAAATTATTGGTAATAAACAAAATCCTTGGTCAATTTTTGATTTATATATTAGAAAATTTTTTATAATAAAAACATTAGTTTTTTGATATGATAAAAAATATTTTTTAATAGAAGATTTAAACTATATTTTTTTTATAGATCACGATATTTTAGTGCAAAAATATAAATAAATAAATTATATATTATATATATATGTTATTGAAGATAATAATTTTAAATAATATCAAAAACAATAATTATAAACTAATGTAGAGTTAGAAAAAAATACATTTAGTAATCATATAAATCTTTTATATACAAAATAATCTAATTTATTTTGTCTATAACTTAGTATTTATTTAATTTGTGAGAAAATACGTATAGATTTGTATATAATTTGCTTATTAATACAAAATCTAAAAAAACAAACGAAATTTTTTTGAAGGTTTTGTTTCAGCTCTTTAACAGCTTTTGGTGTAACTTATGGGTTGAGAGTATAGGGTATAGCATATCATCGCTCAGTTATTTTTATTTAATTGATATCTAAATTATAATTTTTTTCTCATTTCATTAAAATATATGATAACACACAAAGTATTTTAGATTTTTCTCACATTTTCTACTCACCAAAAGATAAATAATAATTAATCTAAATTTTTTTTAATGATTGTTTTGGTGCCAAACGAAAAAAAAACTACATTTAATATCAAAATACTACGTGACTATTGGTGTCTAATAGGAGACAAAAAAATTAGATCTAAATTATTATTAATAATAATAATTTCATTAGTTTATCAAACAAAACGTTTATCATTTAATTTTTCAAATATAAATCATAATTTTGAATATTAAAAAAATATTATTATTATTATTATTTTTATTTTATGTCTACTACTACTAGTATTATAGTAGTAAAAAAAACTCATAGATAATCTTTTAGTTTAAATTAAAAAAATTTAAGGCAAAAAAAAATCTTATCATTCAGCAAATCTAAGTCATATGATATTTGGTGTAATCTTTTTTAGAGAAACAAACAAACAAAAAAAGTGCATTACATTTAAGTTATAGTAAATATAAGCACATTTTTTTGTCGGTAAATTCTCATACAATATACACTATAACACAAAAAAACAGAAAAATACAATTTTGAAACAAAACCCCAAAAATATAATCATTAATTAAGTGTCTAATTGACTAATAACTACCACTACTACTACTACTACTACTATAGAGTGTTGGGCGACGAGGACAAGAAGCCCTTTGTCGAAGAGGCAGAAAAGCTACGACTGGTCCATAAGCGCCAACACCCGGACTATAAGTATGATATTATTGTCATAATTATTTTTTTTAAAAAAAACCAAAAAATAAAATCAACAAAAAAATTGATTGATGAATATATCTAATTTAAAATTAAAAAAAACAAATATTGTATATATTTTTAAATAATTGATTAATCAATTACTCTTAGATATCAACCACGAAGACGAAAGAGCAACAAGAGTTGCGAATCAGCGGAACCACTAATCAAAGGCAAAACAACAAAAAGCATAAAACAATCGCAAACAAAGTTAGTGTCCAATTAAATGATATTTTTTTTAAAAATGTCATTAAATTTTTATTCATTACTAATTATTGTTGTTTTTTTTGTTTAGTAAAAATAAAAAAGATACACAAAATGAGACCAAAAGTAGTCTCAAACAGAACCGTAAGGCCGCCGCCGCCGCTGCCGCCGCCGTAAGTCATCAAACAAATGTTATTATGAGCTCAGGAAATGGCAATAATCCTAACACCGGTGCCCTAACATTGACGCCACCGCACACTCCTTCCAATGATATGAGTTGTTTGCAGCGCAAGAGGGAAACGGGAGACACAAAAATAGGTATATATTTATATATCATATACTGTATATCATATATATATATATATATATATATGTCTTGTATATACATCTTATGACAACATCTTATGACAATATCTTATGACAACATCAACACCAAGATATTAGCTATTGATATATACTCTCAATGAGTGATCACTGACGCGAAACTGAATATCCCATTCACAAAAAAATCATAATAACAATAATCATATATAAACTTATATATACTATATGTTTGCTTATTTTTAGGTACAGCCTCCGAGTCGCCGCCAAATGTGACAACACATCATCAGCATCATCACCATCACCACCAGCACAGTCAACATCAACATATTCCTATACATCACCAGACAATGGCCGGTGCTGCTGGTGGTGGTGGTGGTGGACCTCCCGGTTCCCATTCTATTGACTTTAGTCACGTAGACGTCGGCAATCTGACTACCGAAGTGATGACCAGCATCGACGAAACAGAACTGGACCAATACTTGCCGCTGATGAACGTGGCGTCATCTGCACAATACGCCAATGCCGTCATGGACTCGGCGGCGGCCAACAATTCGCCGGTCAATGCAATGTATGCGTGGTCGACAAAATTTTTGACATCCCATCAAAACAATAATAGTACAAACAATACTAACAATGCCAACAACAAATCCCAAACCACGGCCGCCGGCAAACCAATCGGCGGCGGCGACACATTAGCCGACGGCGGCAGCGGCTATGATAGTCCACATCATTCGGTGTATAACCGGAACATTGTTGGCGCACCCGGTGTAGACCATCAACAGATGACCGCATACGACCACTGTGTAGGTGTAAACCCATTATATCCGACATACTCGAGCTATACACTGGCCAATCACGGCTCATATGGTACCAGTTTTTTGCAATGGCCTTACAGTTGAATAACTGAAAACTTTTTTTGTGTATGAATACAGTATAATCCCTTCCCTCCCCCACCAGAAAAAAACATTAGCTATCTTTGATAAGTTTTTTTTATTACTATTAGATTATTTATATAACTTTATTTTTAAGAGAAAAAAATAAATTGGTTATAATTCTTGAGAAAATTATATATAAAACTATCAAATTCTGTGAATAATAATTAAAAAAAAAGACTTTTTCTATTCATTATATTATTTTTCTCATTAAATGATTAATAAGAATATTCTCTAATTATATATATATATATATATATATTAAAGATTCTTATATAAAAAATCCATTTAATTATATAAATATATATTATTTGAAACAATTTATTATTATTATTTCTTTTTTATTAGTATCGTATTTTATTTTATAACATTATTTTAAGATTTATTTATTGAATTATCGAAGTTTTATTTTAATTAAACATTGTATTAAATTTTATTTTACATTAAATAAAACTCATAGAGTACATAAAAAAATTGACAAAGTTTATTTTGTATAATTAATTATTTTATTAATTGACTTTATTTAATATGCAATTTTATTTTCACATTTTCAATTAATTAGGTTAAATAATAGTCACATGATATTTAATAATAAAGTTTGTAATTTCTTTTAAAAAAGTAATTAAATTGATAAAAATTGATTATTTGTAGTTAAAAGTAAATAATAATAAAAATTAATAAACAAAAATTTGATAATTGATAAAATTAACATTAGTTTAAAATTAATAAAAAACAGTTTATTCAAAAATATTAAATATATATTTTATGTATTTTAAATTTTAAATATTATTTGAAAATAGATAATTTTTTGTGCATTTAAACATATTTGAATACTATATTAATTAATTATTTTTAGTCCATAATTAATAAAGCAAATAAAGCAAATAATTTAATGATTAAATTAATTTTTACTAAATATTATTGCTTTCGTTTTGAGGTACAATTTGTTTAAAAATCAAAATTATTTTACACCAGAAATTTATTTTACAGTAATATTTTAATGTTTTTCGGACTTTAAATCTAAACAATTTTATCATTTTGTTCATCAGTTTCAAAGTATAAATTATTTAACATTAAAAAACTACATTTACATTAAGATACATTAAAAAAATTAAATTATAGTTAGGATTTGTAAAAATTATTAGTTATTGATGAAAATTATAATTTTTGATGTAATAAATATAATTATTAGAAAACAAACTAATAAATTATAAATAACAACTAAAAAGTTTAATAATATTAAACATTTATAGCTTTATTATACATTTTACAATAACAACAATTATAGTTTTTAAAAAACTAATTTAATATATACAGTTAGATAAGCTATATATATATAGTATACAATTTAATAAATTAATTTTTAAAAAATTATCAACAACGAAAAATAAATAAATAAAAATAAATTAGATAATTGATTAAAAATTGTTTAATTTTGTTATTCAATTAAACAATTATTTTTATTTAATAGTTATATAATTATTTTTTTTAAAAATAATTGTTTAATTTGTTGCGGGAAAGACCACAGAAACAGCTTTCACAATGATCTCAGATTTCAAATACGTCTGGAAAATCACTGTGAAAACCAGTTTTGTTGGCCAATCATTTCAAAAAATATATATAAAAATTATAAAAAATATTAATAATTGAATCCATGTCCTCATCATCCATGTGCTGCTGTGTCGCTATTATTATTATTATTATTATTAGTAGCCATATACAATGTATATGCAATGTTTGTGTTGGTTAATGGAAAATAATAGCCAAAAGATAATTATAAAAAAATATACACATTTTTTTAAATACATATATATATATATGTGTATATAAAATGATACAAACCTTATGCTATTCAAAACATAATAATTATCTAAATTTTTTTTCGTATATATACAAATATATATGATATCTTAATTTATATATATATTTTGCAGATATGATGCACATATCCATTGTTGATTATATGCATATTTATTTCAATAATATATTTATATATAATAAAACACATGCAGCCATTTAAATTACATAAATATTGCACCATTGCATTAGTAAAATGAGAAAATAAAACATCAAGTCATCTATGATACTATTATTAGTATTATAACTATTATATACACAGAAACAGACAAACAGATAAAGAGAGAGAGAGAGAGAGAGAGAGAGAGAGAGAGAGAGAGAGAGAGAGAGAGATTCCTAGAAAAATAAAAGAAACTTTTAAATAATATAAATATAATTTTTTTGGCAGGAATTTTAATTATGATTTAATTTGTATGTAAATTTAAAAATGCAAAACAAAAAAAACTACTCAAACAAAATATATACCAATTTGTTTGTCTGTATTCACACACAACATAACAGACTCACAGACAGTCAGACAGAAAAATGTTGACAAAAATCTTTTCAACGAAACGCTTATCACTTGTCATATAATAAGTGGAAAAGAGAGGTCCGGAACTTAATATTATATTTATTTAAAAAACATTAAATTAAATAAATAAAATAATTTTTTTAAATATATATTTAAAATCAAAAAAAAAATCAAACACTGATTTGATGGGCGAAATGCAAATGTGAAACGAAAGCTTACATCTGGTATATGACATTAAAAAAACTAATATTATTAGTATTATCATAATTATTGATGTAATACTGTAATTATAATAATAAATTATTATTATTAATATTATACAATTTTATCGTCATCGTTGTAAATGAGAAAAGTATTATAGTTGTTGAACTCATTTTTTAAGGGAGAAAAATAATAATAATATTAATATTATTTATAACAAAATAACAAAAAGTGAAAAAACTGTTAGACTCACTGTTGACAAGCGGATCATATAAGTGGTTAATACAACAAATATATATATATAGTAGTATTGAATTACATTTTGAAAATAAATATATTATATACTTATATATATATATATTAAACATCATATATATATAACTGATGATCCATTAGGTTGTCTACTGAAATATTGGGGGAGAAAAAAGTGAGAGAAAAAAAGTCACCAATAAGTTAGTCATTCAATACTGTTGTCATTGATCTGTATGTATGTTTCAATTTCATTAATAATTTTTACCCACAAAAAAATATATATTAATATATTGCAGAAAAAATAAATTTTCAATTTATTTGGGCGCAAATAAAAATATATAGTATATATGAAACACAATATTAAAACTAATGATTAATACAAGTGTTATTTATATGAGCTGTTGTTAATAATAAATAAAAATATATATTAATAATATACATATTTACTATTTATTTTTTTAAAAAAAAAACATATACACTAAATATCTACTTAATTTATTAGTAAAATTAGTTTATAAATAATTATTTTTATTATGAAATGGGGATTCATCTAAACATTTACTACAAATATTAACTGTATATTGACTTCTTATCAATTCATTGATTGAATATACAGTATATTTACAGTATGTTTAGGGGAAAAAATATCAATATATTTATATTGAAATTTATGAAATATTTTCTCAGGCTTTTTAAAAATTATTTAAGCAAATCAATTGAAAACATACATAGTATATGCATAATATAAGTATATATATATATATATATATAGTATATGTCATATATCTACTGTATATATATATACATATCTAATACTAAAATGTGAACACAAATATAAGATTATTAAATAAGATAATCTAAATGTAAATATTTTAACAAAAAACATACACTCTTGAGATGGTCTGTTAAAAAAAATTATAAAATTAGTCACTGAAAAAAATTATCAAAAAAATAGTAATTAATAGGGAAATATCTATATAATATGTCTTAAGTTTAATTGATGCAAACATTTTGAGAGTGAGCTTAAATATCCATCATTTTTATGATAAAATATTAATGTCATAAAAATTTTTATCATATGATTTGAGTTGTTTGAAGTCTTATTGGGTGTTGATTTTGAAATATCAAACCAAACAAAAAAAATTTATTTGAAAACTTTGGAAACCGGATGTGTTTTCTTCGATGATTTTTTCAAGAGTAGTAAAACTTTAGTTTTTTTTATTATCGGTTTCGATGAAAATACTACTAATAATAATAAATGAATGATTTTTTGGATGAAACCTCTGAAACGTGATATCTAATTGACAAGAGATGGGAAATATCATAATATATTGTACAGAATTTTTATTATATTCTCTCTCTCTCTCTCTCTCTCTCTCTCTCTCTCTCTCTCTCTAAAAAGCTCTCAATCATTACTATTGCCAAAAAATGTTTACAAATTGATTGATTGAATTTATAATATACAGTATATTATATAACATTTAAAAAAAAAGTTAAGGACATTTAATAAAGAAAAATTGTTAGTTTTTAAATTTTAAAATATATATATATATATTATAATTATAATAAATTAAAACTCTCTTACCTTAAGCTTTTTTTTTAGTTGAAAGAAACATTTGAATATTAAATGTTTTATTCAATATTATTGTATTGTTGTTTTTTATTACAAAAAAAACAATTCACTGAAAAAAGTAAGCTATTATTATTATTAAAAAAATTAATTAATTAATTAATTAAGAGCATATATTATTTACCTGAAACATAAAAAACAGTAATAATTAATTTTTTTATAAATACAATTTTTGTTTAGTATATTTAAAATAAAAAATAAAACATTTGTACACAATCTGTCATTTAGTACATTGCATTGTGAATGAAGTTTAATGTTGAGGAAGTGATCCCAATATCTAATAAAATGTTTTACTTGTATACCAGTAATTAAAAGCAATAAAACGTATATTAATATGAAAAAAACATATACACTATTTGTGATAAATACATACAAAAAATGTAATATTTATATTAAGCTTATCTTTATGTTTGTAAAAAAAATCTAAAAGTTTATATTTATGTAATTCACATGTTTTTAGACAAATTTGTTTTTTGGGTCTAAAAATTTTCACATTTTTAACTCCAAAAAAAATCATATATTAATTATGAACTCCAATATACTATATTTATATACATATTAGTATTTTTGAGTACATTTGATGATAAAAATAAATTAAATGATTCATTTTAAAGATAATTTTTATATATCATATAAAATGCATTAAACAACATTCACACACACACACACACACACACACACACACACACACACACACACACACACACACACACACACACACACACACACACACACACACACACACACACACACACACACACACACACACACACACACACACACACTTACTGTATATGTATATACCGGTAGTTTTGGTCACTGTATATCTATATAATAATTATTATCATTTTATTAAAATCAAATGTTTTTGATTCACATAAAATAAATTATTATTTTCTGATTAACCAAAACATGTATACTATATACAGTACTGTACTATATATATATAAATGTCCATTTTAAGATTATAATTAATTAAACTTTTAATTACTTAAAACATTTAAGTAATTATATAGATTATCAAACTATAGATAATTGTTTGACTTGTAGAAAAAATGTAGTAATAAATAAAAAAAATTGATCATGCTCAAAACATAAAAATAAATACATGTATATGTTCTACAAGTATTTAAATATATTATAATTTTTTTATAAAAAAAACTACCCCCGTATGCGTAACAAACTAAAAAAAAAACAAAAAATAAATAAAATACATTTTAAAACACATTTATCACAATCATTGTAATCACATGAGTGGGTGATAATTAATACCTTGTTTTGTTGTCAATCATTAGATCAATCATTGAATTAAATAAAACAATAATAATAACAACAATATGAAACAAAACCAAAAAAAAAAGTTTACCGAAATTGGTTTACCGGGGGGTCGGGGGTCGGGAGGGCCCAGGGGTTGGAAAAAAGGGTCACTTTGTATCTATAAACTTTAAGCAACAATTATTTAGTACACTGCCAGCCATCTGGTGGCGGGTGAGTGGGTGTCAGCAACAGTGTGTCAGTGCATTGTGTGTGTGTGTGAAACGTCTCAATATATACTGTAATATAAAGTATTAATAATATTATTAAATATACAATGAGTTGGCGGCGTAACAGTTGTTATGAACGGTTCAATTGAGTGTTTGAGTTAAGGTTTCGCCCATTTTTTTCAGTGATTTTTCAAACCAAACAAACAAACAGAGAGACAGACAGACAGTGTGTTTGTGTTATTATTATTATTATTATTATATTATTCATTGGTTTTGTTTATCAAACGATTATTATTTACACCAATCGATCGATCAATCAATCAATGGATGGCCACAATCGGTGTCCGCACGCTGTCTAACACTCACTGACTGGAGTGGCCATCACAGTAGTCGGTAGTACCGTATAAGTCACTCATTTACATCCACTCGCAGACACTGATGGAGTCGACAATGACCCCCATCGGTGGTGACCCGATTACCTTCTCCTCTGTTAATGTTGTCGACTCGGGTCAGGCCGACCACCACCACCTCCACCAACAACAACAACTGTGCGTTTGTGGCCACGGATTCATAGCCAACCAGTTCTGCATTCAATGCGATAACTGTAAGGAATGGTTTCACGGCCAGTGTGTCAATGTTCACGAGTACGAGGCCGACGAATTGGACAAATACTACTGCAATGTATGCCAACTGATGGACAATAGTTTGCAAACAGTGCCGAAACAGTGGACAAACAATTGGCGACACAATCGGTGCGAACCGAATCCGGCCACCAAAGCGGTACAGGCGGGTACCGAAGTGTTTGTAACCAATTTGCGGAACAAGAAGTTTGCCGACGCCAAACATAACCCGACGGTTATTCAGCGTATGAGAGGTCAACAGTTGACACTGAAGGAGATACTCGTCAGCGGCTTTAAGGTGCCGATTCTGGTCGAGTCTAAGGACGGTTTAGATCTGACTGTGCCGGCCGTCGGCGAGTTTACCTACAAAAGCCTATTAGACTACTATCCGATGGACTTCGAGTTAGATGTCATTGACGTCAGACGCCAGATGAACATCAAAATGAAGATCAAAGAGTTTGTCGACAAGTTTAATGTCGGTCCCGATCACCGAACCAGTGTTCACAACTGTATTAGTTTGGAGGTCAGTTCGAACAGTACACTATCGGCCAAAGTAAGGCCGCCGGCCATTGTCAACAAACTGAGTTGGGTCGAAAACTATTGGCCTCCTGTCGAGGCCCGACCTCAAGTGTCGAAGTACTGTCTCGTATCGATGCAGGACTCGTATACAGATTTTCATATAGACTTCGGCGGTACTTCTGTCTGGTATCACATACTGAGCGGCGAAAAAGTGTTTTATATAATATTGCCGACAAAAGAAAATATTGAAAAATACGAACAATGGATGGCCAGCGATACGGCAAATGAACGTTTTCTACCCGATATAATCGGCAATAGCCAATGCTATCGGCTATGTCTGAGTGCCGGCCAAACATTGTTCATACCGACCGGTTGGATACACGCTGTTCATACACCCGAAGATTCGGTAGTTTTTGGCGGCAATTTCTTGCACAGTCTGAACATTGAACTACAGCTGACTATTCGTGAAATGGAACAACGGATCCAAACGCCGTCCAAATTTCAGTTTCCTTTCTTCGAGCTAACCCATTGGTACGCAGCGCCTAACGTTTTGAAGCTACTACAGGATAATCTGTCGAAAAAGCGACCGCCGAAGCATCTGATAGCTGGTGTCAAAGCATTGGTACCTCAGCTGAGAATTTGGCTGAAAAGTAGCAAAGACTACGAAAACCAGAGCGAAAATGAATACCAGGTGTCGATGTTATCACCGAAAGGTTTCAATTGTAATCGACTAATCAAAGACTTGAATACTGTTCTAAACAAAGCCATCAAAATACAAGAGGGACAGCCATTAGGCAAGAAAGGAGGAAAACCTTATAAGAAATTTGTGTTTAAGTCGTCGAACAATCGATCACTGAATTCGACAAACCCGACGACGACGGCTAATACATCGCTGAATACAAGTAGTCCTCAAAAGCAACCAAATATTAAGACAGAAGAAGTTGATGACACTGACCAACCATTGGTTATGGATGGCGACAAACGACAAGCGGCCACTAAAGTGCGATCGCAATCAAGCGATTCGGATTCGGCGGCCAAAAGCTCATTAAAATTTAAGTTAGCGATAGTCGGCGCTAAAGAGATATTGTCGTCTAAAGATACCGATACGAACTTTATGGACAATATTTTAAATTCCGAGATTTTAAAATCAGATAATCGACAGATTTTATCCACTAATAAAAAGTCGAATAAAAGGAAACGCAAGACCAACGACAATGGATTAGATGAAGAAGTGGAAAGTATGATCAAAGGCCGGCCAGAGGACGACGATTACATTTATTTGGATATCGAAACACCATTGGATGAAGATGCCGAAACTGCCGGCCTCAATGTACCGAAAGACGAGGCGTGGACACCACGGGCCAGGGTCCAGATCAGAGCTATACCGAAAGCGCCGCGCGAGTCGCGGGACGCTAAACGTTCGGTGGTCGAGACGAGTCTGGCCAATGCGGCCGCAAAACTAGAGAATATGCCGCAACAGAAGCGACACTATTTGAAAAAGAAGACAAAACCAATACCGAAACCAGCGGCGAAACCTCAAGTAGTTATCGAACCTCAAGACATTGTCGAAGCGACCACATCATCGATGGACAGTCCATTACTAGATAGTGGCGGCGCCGCCGGTGGCCAATCAAAGACTGCCTCTTCGGGTAACGGTAATCAATCGGTAATACGCAAAGTGTCCAAAAAGGGAGAAAAAACAGCGAAACAAAGACTCCAGAAGAAAATGAAGAGACTTTGTTAACCAATTATTATTATTATTATTATTATTATTATTATATACTTATAACTTAACTTAAACTAATTGTTAACAAATTTCTCGTTGTATATAAATTTAAAGAAAAAAACATTGTTTTTAGTAATTTTTAGTTGAATAGCAAAATGCAATTAAAAATAAGACTGCCATTTATATATGATATTTATATTTATATATCAATATATATAAACTGAATTAAATGACTCAATTGGTTTGAGGTCTTAAACAGTGAATTATTGTAATTAAAATATATATATGCCTTAAAAAATTGTTTATCATTTTTAAAAACTTTTTTTCATTATTACGTGACCTCAGACTGACACACACACACACACACGAAATATTTTAAATAATACTAAATTAATATATATATATATTTAAAATTTTTTCAACAATAAAATAATAAACACTTTAGAAATATGTGTGTATTTACTTAAAATGTCTAAACATTAATTTTTTTTCGAAACCATCTATAAAAATATATATATTTAAAATCTAAAAACTTATTATATATATATATATATATATATATATATATATATATATATATATATATATATAATTTATAAATGTATATTAAAAAAAAGTCAGTTCACTCACCCATTAATGTGTTGCTCAATAGTTAGTGGCACTCATTTTCTCATGGATTTTGAAATATTTTTGTTGATTACCTAACATTATAAATATATATATATATATATATCGTGTCGTTGTTTGACTACATATAATAGTATAAATACTGTTTACATAAATATATTGTATATACAGTATAAACTTTTATAAATTTATAAATTAAGTTATTTTTGGGGAGTAATTACATACAAACACACACACAGTATATAATAGTTTAGTTATACCTGATTTACTAAATGAGAGGACAGTAGTAGTAGTAGTAGGAGGAGGAGGAGGACAACACACACACACACACACATACACACACACACCGAACCATTGAATTTTATTTTTTTAGATATTAAAAAGTATATAACTTTTCTATGAATGATGATGACTATTGTGACAAATCAATGATCTGATTAAAGTAGAAAAAAACAGAGCAGTAATAATAATAATAATAATAATAATAATAATAATAATAATAATAATAATCGTCGTCATCATAATAATCATAATAAAAATAATAATTGATTTTAATGACAGAGTAGACGACAAGATATAGAAAAAGCAAAAAAATCACTTAAATAAAAAAATTGTCTGAAAATGAATGAAGTGAACTATAAAATAAAATAATACATACAATGAATTTTTGGAGACATTAAATTTCAATGACTTTTCTCATTAGTGATAGACTGGCTGAGACATACAGACAGATAGATAGATAGTTAGACAGAGGGATAGACAGTCAGAGACAATGGTTATTATAACATAAAACTGATTGTTCACCACCAGTGATCTGATGATCTTTTACAATACACACACACATACACCACACCACAGAGCAAACTTGTGTGCCATTGCTGGTGACACTCCACCCCTTGAGAGAGAAAAATTATATACAATTTATATAATAATAATATACACAACAAAACCCATAATACTGTTGTATACAACATCACACAGGCATACATCACAATCTAAAAGTATCACTTTTCTTGGGCCAAACTCATGCGTCAAATTGTTCTCTCTCTCTCTCTCTCTCTCTCTCTCTCTCTCTCTCGACATTTAGTGTAAATCTCAGCAGTTATTTAAACCAACTTCTGGTTTAAATTATAAAATCATTTCTTACTCTACTTTTAGTCCCAAAAAACACTACTATATGTACAGTATGTTTACTATATATATCTTTTAACGTAAAACGCCTTTTAAAATGTGTAGTGTTTTTCATTGAGAAGAAAAAGAAAGAGTTTAAACACACCATTAGTATTGAAAAGAAATGGTTCCCCAGAAACAAAAACAGCCAAAAAAAAGTTTCGGATGTTATTTATTTGACCATAACTTACAAATCTGTGTGTCGTTTGGCCGTAACGTTGTGTTGAAAAATTAACTTCTTCTTCAGATTGGTGGACAGGGATGTGGTGTTTGGTTAGAGAGAGCGAGAGAGAGAGAGAGAGAGAGAGAGAGAGAGGAGAGAGAGATCAGCGCCAGTGATGGTTTCAAATGCGCAATACTTATCAATAGCCAAATAGTTTTGGGTATCGCAGCAGACATTTGCCACACAGAGCTCTGGTATTTTTTTTTAAATAATAAATAAAATGTTTTTCCCCAATGAATTCAATGGGTATTAATAATATATTAGAATATTATTATAATTTTTTTTAAATAGTTCTCTCTCTCTCTCTCTCTCTCTCTCTCTCTCTCTCTCTCTCTTTGTCTTTATGTGGCATTTAATCAAATTCCTGATCCAACACAATATCAATATATTATTTTGCTGTTGAAACACAACACAACTTTTTAAAGCAAATAGTATTAACTGAACAATAAAAAAAACTTTTCTTTGCAGATATATTTTTGATATTTTTTTGATACTCAATAATATTTTGTATATAGTTTTTAATTTATCTCTCACTCACTCACTCGCACTAACTCTTGTGATATTTGCCAGCGATTAGGGCGTCAAACATGTGATCGTTAGCAGCAATATATATATATACACACAGTGTATATATAAATTAAAACACAATTTTTTCTCTCTGTTGTTGATATCAATGTGTGTGTGTGTGTGTGTGTGTGTGTGTGTGTGTGTGTGTGTGTGTGTGTGTGTGTGTGTGTGTGTGTGTGTGTGTGTGTGTGTGTGTGTGTGTGTGTGTGTGTGTATGCGTAAGTGTTAGGCATTTATATAAACATTTAAGCAACAAGTATATACATATATATATATATATATGTATGAATTGGCAAACCTTACTATCTATCTCTCCCCTACTCACTCACTCACACACACATACACACACACACACACTCACTCACTCACTCACTCACTCACTCACTCACACACACACACACACACTCCGATACCTTTTAATAAATATGACGCTTAATATATTGCTGACTATGAATGGCCTTCTCTGACGTCTCTACGCCAGTCTTTTACGTCAGGATACCAATTGTGTGATCTTTTAATATATCGATATCTAAATAAGGTGTCAATTTGGTCGACCAGAAAGCACACACACAAACAGATATATTGGTTGGAAGTGCTTATTACCACAAACGATGGCAATGTCCCACAGTTTCTTACTATTATCCCAAATAGGCTGCTCTCATGATTAGTAGATATACAGTACATAGAAAAGTATAATACCATATATATATATATATACTGATGTATTGCATGTTTTAAAGTATTAAAACAAAAAATAAGAGGTCTTCCAAAACATAAGGATATATATATATATATATATATGACTTTTAATATCAAGAGAGAGAGAGAGAGAGAGAGAGAGAGAGAGAGAGAGAGAGAGAGAGAGATCAATTCATTTATTCTCATCACATCTGACACATCCAGTCACTGAAATTCTCAATCAAAATAAAAATTTTATTTTTTTTAGTTATGGCTATGCCTGCCATACCGGTCCTCCTCTCTTTCTTTCTTTATATATATATATATATCACTATCAATACATGTTATACAAAAATAAATCTCTATTCATATAGTTGTGAGATAGAGATAGGGAAGAGAGTTCAGCACTTGTCAATGAAAATCACCCGATTCTTCAATGAAGAGATATATGTATTAATTTTTTTGTGAGAAAATTTTTTCTCATTTCTTGTTTGATATCATTATAATTATTAGTATTAGTATTTAATTCACAAATTCTTGTGTGACATAAGCGCTAAATAAGAAATTAACGAAAAATAAATAAATATTAATTTTATAAGAAAAAAATATATAAAATATTTTTTTTTTGAAGTGCATAACATATCTTAACATTTTTTGTTGTTGAGCTAAGATATGTTGTGTAATATTATAATTATAAACAATTGAATACTACCTGAGCGGTGCAGTCAATCAAAAAATTAGTCGTCGATAAAAAATAATCGGTTATTTCAATAATGATAATTCAATCTATGTTTTGTTTGCCAATTGTTATGCCAAATAGTACTGTAATGTACTGTACAGTACATTAGTAGTAGTATTAATATTGATAGTATTGTTGGTAAACTTGATTTTTTAATTTTCTCTCATATTTTTAATGTTAAATACTTCCAATTCATCCAATTGAAAATCGCTGATATCTTTTGAAAATCTAAACGTATATAAAAATATATATATATTAAGTATATATATAATAATAATTTATTAAATATACTATAGTATGGGATAGCAAACAAGTTATTAAAAAATAATTTAAGTCTGATATGACTTTGTTGTGTATAGTAGTAGTATTGTATATACCATAAACAATATACTGTATAATTTTTTTTGTGGATAATATATCATATTTATAATACACATATAAATTAAATATAAATAAAGGTTTATTGAAATTTGTAATTTGTTGGGCTAATATATATAATACTATATATAATCCTTTTTTGTCGAGAGAATTAAATTTATATATAAAATAATAATAAATAAATAAGAGTCACATAATAATAATTTATATATATTTTTTTCTCTCTCTTTCTCTCTTATAAACACTACATTCATGAGAATCAGTCCTTATATAAGGTCATTGACAAAAACAATTTACGCCCTCTCTCTCTCTCTCTCTCTCTCTCTCACACACACACACACACACACACACACTCACTCACTCACTCACTCACTCATTCATTCACTCAAGAAATACGATACATTGAATTATACATCAAAAAAATAATTTAAATAATTGGTACCAAATAGAGAATCTCCCACTTTAGTGAAAAATTTTTTATTTTATTTATTTAAAATTAGTTATTTTATTGTTGTTGTTGTATATCAAAAAATTAATTGTAAATAAATGATTGAAATGAATATTTAAATACACACTTCAATTTGTAAAAACTTTTTTTTGATTTCTAAAGTTCAGTATATATTAAAAATTATTTTTAAAAAAAAAATATTATAATAAATATATGTATATCTAA